TTTTTTTTTTTTGGTAGGGTTTCTTTTTTATGAGCCTGAAGTAGTAAAATTTAAAATTGCTCTCTGCAAATTCTTCCAGCTCTGCCCCTCATCACTGCAGAACTGCTATGAACAGAATCCAGTGATTTTATTCCCTCTTGAGAGAGCACACAAAGTATCGGTGTCGAGCTGCAGCAAGGAGACCGTTTGGTGAAACCAGCCCACGGTCTCATTTCTTCTCCTCCCGCCCCACTTCCTTTTGTTCAAATCCTGCTCCTCCTTGGGCTCAGCGTTGCACCTCGTCGGAAGGACAAGATCCTCCTCTGCTGGCCACGAGCAATACGGCACTGCAGGCAGGGGCCCTGCCTTCTCTGCCCCTGCCTGCCTCCCTCCTGCAGCCCCCATCCTGCATCCCACATCCTGCATCCCCCATCCTGCATCCCCCATCCTGCATCCCACATCCTCTCCAGCACACAGGAGAGAAGGAGTGAGCTCTTCCTCCTCCTCTGCTGCACACCACCATGGCAAGCTTCACGCCATGAGTCAAAAAGCTGAAATTCGGCCCCCTCCTGGCTAGCAGGGGTGAAAGTGCTTCAAAACCAGTGTGGTCTGGTGAGTGGTTCAAGAGACCCCAGGACAGAGGAGAAAACTCTCCATGCTGAGAAGTCAGCTCTGCCTGAGGTTTTGTCCCTTGTGGCTCTGCTGCTGCACCTTGTGACAGGCACACGAGGAGGGAGAGCTGCAGCACAAAAGGAGATACAGAAGCCTTACAGTAAAGATAGTGTTTAACTCCTGGATTCTTTATGCTGGGTGCTCCAGAAGCCTTTGTTCCTAGTAATATTTATACTGTGGCAGCAGACAGAGGCTTTCATCCAAAAGCGGGAATCAAAATCTGACTCAGTCACCAGCTACCAAGCTGCAGGATGATACTGTAAACCTGCACATTGTTGAGGGCACTACTTTATTGTAAGAGGGAGTTTGGGGTACCTGTCTTTCTGTGGTCAGCTCTACCCATGTTTGGACAGAGCAGCAGGTGGATAACCTGGGAAAGAAAGTAGTGCAGCACAATGCTGCATCTGTCATCTTTCCTATTTCCTTGGGGTATGAGCATTGTGAGACTGTCATCTCCACCCTACAGCTGGGGAAACTGAGGCACAGAACAGCAGGGTGCACCTCACTCAGCCTGGGCTGAAACGCTCCAGCATTCCCTGGGGTGCCAAGGGCTGCCCCCAGTGCAGGGGCAAAGTCACTCAGTCAAACCTTTCAGAGCCAAACCCTTTCCAACCCCATAAGGCAAACACCACAACAGGGCAGCACCGAGAGCTGGAGAGTGAGATGAAATGTTACTTGCATCATCGTGCTCCCAGTGCTGCTCCCTTGTTCTTTGTTTCATCTGTGCCTCTAAAAGAGAGGAGTACACTTGCAGGGTTTGTTTTAGTCTGTGTTTATGGATGAACACTACCACTAATTGTAAATGGAGCAATTAGACCTTTTAGTCTCCACTGGGGTCTGGCAAAGGATCTGACAAATTCTGTACCTGCACTCAAGAAACATATACACCAAGGACAGAGCTTTTACAGCCTTCTCATTTACCATCATCTCTGCACTAATTCAGGAGGGGCAATTGTGTGAGGATGTGTGTCCTTCCAGCTGCAAAGGATTTAGTGCTGTATGTGTGTGGCTCACTCAAATGCACCTGGGAAGGGGCTCTGCTGAGTGGTTCAGGGGACATTGCTCTCATTAAAGTCAGTGGGGAAGGGAAGAACTGGAGTTCCTGTTCTCCCTGGGTCAAACACAAGAGGGATGCAGAGATGCCTGAAGCAAGAGCTCATTTATATATTCCAGACAATATTCACAAACATGAATTCTGAGCTTTTTATTTTGTCCTGTTTCTGATTCATTGCTTCTGATTCATTTGTTCTTAGTCTCAACTTGCATTATCTGAGATTTCTTTCTTCTATATATAATGTGTGACTAATCAGGGCACATATTTACAGTTAATTTTATCTGTAGCAATGCATAGGTGCACATAATAATTGTATTTGTATGTATACTGTCTTTACTATGTGTGTTAAATTGTTTTGAAATACATTTTATTCCCTAAAATTATGTGAGGGATGAAGAATAGCAGCTTCAAATCTCCTTCACACCCACTGTTAGCATGTGTATCCTCACTGCAGGTGGGTAATCCTGTCCTCAGCTGGGATTTAGAGCAAGAGGGAAAGCAAACGGAAATTGTCACGCTGGGGATGTGTCCTGGTGTAGAGTCAGTGCCTTTCCTTTCAGAAAAACCTCACTCACACTCTTCAAAGGCTAAGAGCTCTGCCACGCCTGGGCACCTCCCAGGCTCCAGCTTTGGCAGCCAGCTGGAGCATGGCCTCTGTCAGCATCTCGGAGAAGCTGGACCAAGAGCCAATGTGCCATCACCTCACAAGCAAAGAGACAACACGTTCAGGTCAGGTTTACTCCAAATCAGACCAGCCCAGCAGCTTAGGCTGTATGCTTGGAAAAGCCAGACTCTCCCAAGGGTTGTTGACATTTTGTTACCCTTTTCAAAGAGCTCTTAAAATCTAGGTCAGTCAGCTCCAAAGTGGGGGTGGGAACATCCTTGTCTGGACATCCATCCAGCAGCAGAGGCAAACAGAATCTTTGTACTGTAAGCAAAGCTCTGTGCTGGCTTTTGCTTTATCCAGAAAATGACTCTCTGACCTTTATTATCTCATGCAGGCTTCTCATTCGTCCTTCTGGGCCAGCATGATGGAAGGTAAGTGGTTTCAGTTTCCTCATTTCCACTTCTGCCTGCCACAAAACTGAGAGGCTGGCAACCTGGTTCACTAAGACCCTTCACTAGTGCCCAGTGCTGAATTATATTAACTTCATGGAGAGCCTTGCTGTGCTTAACATATGGTCTATGATCAAGTTGAAAGTCTGTTTGACTTTGGACAAGTGATATGGTGGGTGCTTTCAGACCCTCACATGTTCTGTGTCAGTGCAGGAGACAATGCTGCATCATGTCCCAGCCAGGGGTGTGTCTGACACACTGGAGACAAAAACAGAGGTACAGCAGCACTACCAACATGCAGCTGATCACAGGGCTCTCCTGGATCACACCTGGAACTCTCAATTCTGTCCCAAACCAGGGCTTTTCTGCCATTCTCTGCTTTCTTGTTCTTTGGGAACTCGTGGGTGATACAGTGGGCCATGGTCTGGAGGAGAGGTCATGATGCTGGGCTGCAAACCTCACAGAGAGATGAGCAAAGAGCCTAGCTGGGGATCAAAACTGGAGGCCAAATAAATGAAGGCTGACTTTCCCTTGCAGCATGCAACTAACTGTGGAACTTATGCCTGCAAGGCTTAGTCCCAAGTGCTAGATGATTCAGAAACAAGCCCATGCAAGTAAAAATCGTTAAAGGCTGTGTCGCATTAAGATGTTGATAAGGGAAAAGCTGTGATGAATATTGTGGGAAGATGTGTAGGTGTGTGAGGATTTGTATATCCTTTCACAATCTACGTGGTCCATGTATTAGATTATGATTTTATTGATAAGTTTAGTATTTTTGAAGGTAAGCCCTGTTCTTTCTTTTCTTGATTTCAGTGGCTGTTGGACCTGAGTTTATAATGCATATCTAATTAAATATTACAATAATTTTGCTCTTTTTCCTTCAAAAAAATAAGGTGGATTTTAGTATGCACTCATTATTCATCTACATTCCTTTTCATTCCAGTGGTATTTGGGTTTTCAGGTCAAACCAGAAATCTTGTTACTCATACAGCGGTGCCCAAATCAATGTTGCTGTTCTAACAACCTGTATGTAGAAAACAAATTTCCAAATAATTTTTATGTCTGAGCTCAGTATTTGGGTTCTGCAAATATTTGGCCACAGTCATGCAGTTGATTCAGGGTTTACACAGCCTTGTGCAACCTGGTTGATCTGTTTTTTGATGGTAGCTTATCCCTTTAACAATTTAACTCATACCCTGCCTTATGGTGTATGGTCCTACATCTGTCTCCCCACTGTTCTACAATCTTCTACTCCCCATCCCCCTTAGCATCTCCAATCCTTCAGCCATCACGATTCCCCTTCCCCATCCATCCCTCTGAGGAAAAAAGTGCTGCAAAACTGCTTTTAAGTAACAGTCACAAAACTATTTGAAAGGCTTTCTGGCTTTGTTGTTAGCTGGTCTCCCTTCTTTCTGAAGCTGCAGCTACTCCCAGCCACAGCCCACTTGGAAGGGAGGAAATACTGTGAGGTCTCATCTCTGCAGAAGTAAATGTGGAATATCTCATTATTTAAAATACAGTCAGGATTTCAGCCTCATAAAAATAAGACTGCAATAATCTCAGAGCTGGGGACAAAAAGTATTTAGGGGGGTGGTAGGAAAACTCATCCTGCTTAAATTAGGCCAGATTTCAGTCCGTCTCCAGAGGTTCAGAGAGCTTGAATAAATGCTGGGTATTTTCTGGCACTCTTGATGTGTGTTGGCAATAGGCTTTAACTCTGCACATCACTCATCTTGACAACTGCAGTCCAACAAAGTTACCTCGTGATTCAGGTCACCCGATGGCATCCTAATGCATCACTTTCCCACTTGGAACATTAGTCATCACTTGATCCAGGGAAGGTTTTGAAAACAGTGTGACTGTCGGCATTGGGGTATCTGTTCTCTCCGTAACAGAGAGCCCATGTCAGCTAATGAACAAGGGGATATTGATCAGAAATCCATTGCTTGATTGACAGCTCTTGGCAATGTGAAAAACTGCAGATGAAAGCTTGCACAGTTTAAAAGATCACCCAGACCTCAAAGCTGATTTGAAGCTTTAAAAGTCAATCTCTGTCTATCAATTATGGGGGGATTTTTTGTACTACACAGAGGAAAGTTATTCTTTGAAAATTTGCATGCAGGATGTCTAATTTAATTTCATGTAATAGTCACATTTCAGTGACAAATGTCAGATCACTGCTTTTTTAAGCATGTTAAGGTTTTCCAGCACTTACAAAGAGCGAACACTCTGATTTAGTAATATGTTTAAATCAACCAGTGTATCAGACTTTGTGCCTTAATTATGTGCTCAGATAAAAAAAAGTGTTGCTTTTGCTTTACTAAACCTATGGCTTGTTATGAATAATTAAAAAAAATGGAATGGGAGCACTTCTTAAATAAGAGATGTGGAAGCCAAATAGTTATTTAGTGTCAGAACAGTGATAAATAAGAAGACATCTCTTAGTTTGATATCATATGCCCCAGTGAGGGTTTTCTGGTCTTTGTTTTTCACTGCTTTGTGCAGCTGGAGATGACATGGAACAGCTGGGAGATGGGAAACATCACTCATGTGACCTGAAGGAGCTATGTCTGTTTCTCAGTTTCATGAAGAGGGATAGCAATGGGGAAAGCAGGGACACTGGTCATTTCTCAGATCTGTTGCACTCTTACATCACCTTGGCTGGTCTCCCAGCCAGTAACCTCAGCTTCCTGACTCCCATATCCACATGGGGGACAGGGTCCCCAGTAGGGTTTGCTGATGTCTTCTGAGCCCTTTCCACATGCACCCTGAACTCCATGCCTTGGCCATTAAATTTCTTGAAATGGTAATTGCCAGCCCTTGAGGGCTGCTCAGTGTTGGCTGTTTTACCTCAGCTCTGGCAACCTGAAGCTGCCTTCTTCAAGGGCTGCTGGGTGCCCAGCTGGCCTCAGGTGTGCTATAGCCTCTCCCAAAATTGCCCCATCTGTGCACATGGGGGATTGTGCCCCCAACCATCTCAGAGCCACCAGAAGCACATCTTGCAAAACGTGAATTACATCTTGGCCATTTTGTTTACAGAAGAGATGAACTTAAAAATCGTTCCTAACATGTCAAGTAATTACATAAGTGTGCTTAATAAATGATTAATCTGTTGCTGAGAAATCATGCCAAAAAAAAATCAAGTGACAGTAGTGTAATTTCTTAACAACACACAGAGCAGTTGGCTTAAAAACGAGGGTAGGTGATTCTACAATGGCTTAGCTATTTGTGCTCATTCAAGGCACTAATTTTTCCACTGTTGATTCAGGAGAGTCCTCACCAGCCTCTGTAAAGCATGCTGGCATGTTTGCAGTCTGCCTCTAGTAGTTTTCACTCCTCTGTTCATCCTTCATAACTTTTAGCAGGTATATTTTTCCATAAAAAAGGATACCCGGTCCTTCAGACAGCAACTGTGGAATAAAAGCCAGCATGCCCCTCTAAGATTCTGAAAATAAACAGGGGGTACAAAATCAGACTACTTCAGAAAGTTCCCTCAACCTCAAGTCGTTTGCAAAATTTCTTCTCCAACAAAGTGAACTTGGAGGCTGAATTTCAGGCAAAACTTCCTTTTTGTTTTTCTTCCTTAACTACATCACATTAATTTTAATTTTTTTCAGTGTAGACAATGTCCTTATCTTTCAGCAAGATCCTTCTGTTCCTCAGCAAGGCGTACACTTCTGCAACACTTGCACATAGTCGAGACTCAGCTCCTGTGGAAATAATGAGCTGAGGAAAAGGGTTATTAATTTGGAAAAGAAAAAAAGGGGGTGAAATTTCCCTTTTTTTTTTTTTTTTTGTGAGAAACGAGAGTTGGCATGTAGGAAAAAAAAAAAGAAAAGAAGATGGTTCTATTTTAATATGAAATATAAAACACCCATTGTACAAATGTGAAATTTCTTTCTTTTTTTCGGAAGCAAAGAAAGAATAAAGATAAAGGCTGCAAGTGAATGAATGAGGAGAGAAAACTAAGATAATGCAGTCGATAATCAGTTCAAGGCAGAGCATTATCCATGGGGCCATCGGTCCAGCCCTAGGGAAGAGCTTTTTAAAATGTCTCTGTACGTGGCTTAGCTTTGCTCATTACCATAGCTTGTCTTTGAAACACTGGAGTGGCTTCCACTGGCAAGCGCTGTACCTGCTCAAGGAGCCGCCAGCCCACTTTAATCCAAGCCCCCTGCATGGCTGCACAGCCGCGCTCCCCGCGGGCCCCGGGACTCCTCTGGCTCCCGTAGGCCACGGGCTGGCAGAGCCAGGGATGGGCTCCTCAGCCCCTCCCTGCTTGGAGGCTGGTTTGTGGGTGAGAAGTCCCAAAGTTGTGCAGGTGCCTTCCCCCAGCTGCTCTCGGGATGGGGCTCTGTGTCCCCTGTGCCGGGAAGGGCCCTGCTTCATTCTGCAGCAGCACTGGTGATGGTCAGCAAAGCAGCTGGACAAAGAAAATCCCTTCTTCTTATAGGAAGCTAAATCTCTTTTTGTGCTGGTACCAGCCTCATCATCTGCCCTGGCTGTTGTGCCACAACGGGGCCTCCTTATGCTTTTGCCTGGAGAGCCCTGGCCTGCATCCCTTTGACTTCCTGGTAGTCACCAGAGGAGCCATCTGGGCAGCCAGAGCCCCAGTGCCCTCCAGGAGCATCCTTGAGAGAAGCTCTGGGGCCAGCTGTGCTCAGGCTGGCCATGCTGAGCACTAGGTGAGCTCTGCTTATGCCAAGGAAGACCTGAACAGCGTCTTTGTTCCTCAAGATGATCACTAAACCCACTGACATCCCAAATGAGCTGAAAGAGAAAAGTACTGTCCATCTCAGGAATAACTTCTTTCATAACTTGTCTCCTTCCAATTTTAATTACTCTGTTCTTTCATTCTCTTTTCACCCCTGCAGATGAGGCTGATGACTATGAGAACTACTACTACTCTACAGAACCGAAGCAGGACACCAACCTCCAGCAGGAGTTCTCGGAGGAATTTTTCTGGCTCAAGACAGTTTTCAGTGACATCTTTTCCATGGAAGGTACCTGTCAGGGGTGGGCAGGAAGGCAAGGAAGGGGTAAAATCCCAACCCTGTGTTTGAAGCATGAGTGTGGCAGGTCTGGCTGCCAGCCTGCTCTCAAAATGCCTGCATCAAAGGGATGAGTTAGGAGAATTGTTTGCAGTGTTCTTCTTTGTATTTCTCTTGTAAGGATCCTGTGTTTTATCTCCAGGTTTCACAGGATGGATTCTGATAATGCAGAACATTTCTGATTGCTACTACAAAAAAGCACAGACTTATTTGTCTATAGACACTGTAAGATGTAATTGCTCTTTTCATGGGATGTATGTTCTGTATTTATGCTGGGAACCAAATGTAGAGCAGGTTTGGTTTTTTTTTTAATTTTTTTTTATTTTATCAGTTGCAGGGGTTGCAGGGGTTTTATTTCCTTTTCATTTTTTGTTTGCCAAACTTCAGGAGAACAGGAAAGGATCCTAGGGATTGCTCAGAGGACTCAAAAGGAGAGGCAGGGAAGTTGACTATCTCTGCTCAAAGGAAGGGACTTGCCCCATTACAACTCTGTAATCGGGCAAGGGGAGTAGAGGATCTCCAGACCCAAAGCTATGAGCCACTCCAGCTTGGAATAAACTCTGCAGCAACTCATACTACTCCTGTGGGTGCTGGGTTGATGCACAAGCACAGCACTTACAGGATGCTGTGCCTAGGAAGACAGACTCCTGCAACCGCAAAATGCAAGAAGAAAAAGCAGGTGATGAAGGTTGAGAAGCTGAAAGATCTTCATCCCTATCTCTGCAGACTCATGCTCATCCAGCCCCTGCAAGAATGGTGGTACATGTGAAGCCAGAGGAAGTGACTTCAGCTGTCTCTGTCCTGCACCATATGGTGGGACTACATGTGAAAAAGGTAATGGCTCTTTTGCTAACCTACATTCCTTATTTTTGTAGTTAATGCTAATGTTACAACTTTATAAACCCACTGTTTGCTGAGATGAGTGTTCTGACAGCCCAGAACAGTCATGTCCATAGCTCTTAGGACCTCATCCAGGCCAAAGTCTGTCTAAAGAGCATCCAGTGAAATAAACTTCAGGAGTGCAGAGAGTGCTCCTCTATGCCGTGCAAGGTGGGCTGTGGGGAGCTGCTCATTGGCACCACAGATTTTTTGCCATAGATGCCGTGAACAAGAAGTGAGATCCCAAGTCCTCATCTGTCAAATGAAAGCTTCCTTGGACTGTCAAGGGAAGGCATCTTCCCTTGATCCCTGCAAGGGCACAGTTCTTGTGCACACACAAATGCTGATGATGTGTTTTTTATATATGTTTTATATGTGTTTTATGTGTGTTTTCCACAGTGGAGGACACGTGTCTGGAGAAGAACTGCCACTTTGGTGACTGCCTGATTATATTAACCCCACCTTATTTTAAGTGCAGCTGCAAGCCTCCCTACAGGAGACCCTCCTGCCAGCGTGGTGAGCACTCAGCTGGGCACAAATTGTGGTGGGGCTAGCATGGCCAATCTGCAGTGGGAAATCACCCACTGCAGAGGGTGATCCTGCCCTAGTAATGCTGCAGCTCCCATCCATGGGCCAGGCCAGTGATGAGTTGTGTTTGATTTGCCAGGTGGTGGTTCAGTCACTGGTAAAACCCCCAGAGATATGCATTCTGCAAAATTTCATGAGAATTCAGAGAACTCAGCCACTCCCAACAGGCTGAGTGGGAGTTCTCCCCAGTTTCCACTAGGTATGCAAGTGGCTGTGTAGTGTTCAGCACCTTGACAAGGCTGTTGTGTGTTTTCCACATTGACAGCTTCCAAACAGTGCAGCCCAAACCCTTGCAGAAATGGAGGCACCTGCAAACGGAACAGATACAGATCAAAATTCACCTGCGAGTGCCCTGAACCTTTCAGAGGGAGATTCTGCGAGATCGGTATGTCACAGCCCCTCAGGGGGAGGGAGGGCTGAACCTCCAGAGAGCCAGGGGCTGGCTTCCCCCTGCAGCCAGACTAGCTGATGCTATTCCTGTAGCATCCTGTGGTGACCTCCTGTCACTGTCCCAAGAGCCTGACTACACTGAGGCATCCGGGACCTTGGAGAAAGGGTCAGAGGAAGAGGCTGACTTCTGCAGCTACTGCTGGCACAGGGACTTGAAACAATTCTAATCTTGGTGTTTTCTAAGTGTGCTTTGGCAAGGTCCCACTGGTATATAATAAGTGAGGACCAGAGGTCCTCAGAGGCTGCACGTCACAAAGGGAAGAAATGATGGGATTTCCTTAAACATTCAAAATCTACTGTAGTGAAGATACCTGCCCAGTTGCCTGTGACTCTTCAGGCCGAGGGGACTGCTTCTGATGGGTGACATTTGAAGTCAATCAAGCTAGATGTTGGGACATTATTCTAATTTCTGGCCTGTGTACAATAAGGAGCATAATTACTTGTCCCAGAAGGCACTTCTGATCTGCTATAAAATGAATGTACAACAAGAAAGGATGGAAGAGGAACCACTTTGAGCAAGGAACAACACAAAAGTTATTTTCATATAAGCATTGTCTTTCTACAGGACCAAATGATTGTTATGAAGAGGATTCCTCTACATATAGAGGTAGGGTGAACCAAGCAGAAAATGGCAGGACCTGCCTGCACTGGAATTCCCACCACCTCTTGGATCATCCTTTTAATGCCTTTATGGAGGATGCTGACTCCTATGGCATTGGGGAACACAACTTCTGCAGGTAATATTTTGAAGAAGCAGCTGTAGAGGTCTGTATCAAAGAGATCCTTGAGGACAAAACTGCTCACAAATTTAAGAAACTGATGGTGTTAAGATTTCACATCTTTTTAGACACTGCCTGCCCATAAAACACCAGAATGTTAGAGATGCCTTCTCTAACCATGCTGATATGAGGTTCCAGAAGTTGCCTGCTTTGTTTTGAACCAGTCCCACATTTTTCTTATGGCTAAGATAGGGAATAGGCATGGGAATAGTAATATGGCAGTATTGTATGCCTCACTCAGGCATCTTCTTTGTCAATCTTATGAAACATTATCTTTGTTCATCTCCCATATGGGAACATGAAGCTTCCCCTTAAGAATCCTCAGCTCCTTCACTAATTTCATGGAGATTTTCCCATTCCCCAGGAAACGGAGGATATCAGTTCACTGGCTGATTCTCTCAACTGTTCCCTTCAGGAATCCTGATGAGGATGAAAAACCCTGGTGCTACATCAGGAAAAATAATGAAGTGGATTGGGAATACTGTGATGTTTCACCCTGCTCAGGTAAAGAATTAATAGCAAGTGATTTGGCAGCATGTAGGTGGTCTAGAGCAGCAGGTGACTCCCTGCTGGCTAACCCTTCTAGTCTGATATTAAGTCTGCATTGTACATCTGCTGTCTCTTCCAATGCAGCTGAAGAGACCCCAACAGAACCCCCTACAGACCCCCCTGAAATATTCAAAACATGTGGACAACCAGAAGTTCATAGGACACTCAAGAAGATCTATGGTGGATCCAAGGCTACACCTGGAAAACATCCCTGGATGGCATCTCTGCAGACACAGACTTCAGATGGGAATGAACATTTCTGTGGTGGAGTGCTAATTAAATCATGCTGGGTTCTTACTGCTGCACACTGCCTTAAGTAGGTGCATGTCCTATCATTAGGATGGTTTGTGAAGGTAGCTTGGTATCCAAAATATTTGCAATCAAAATGATTGCTAGGAGTCAAATTGAAAGGGAAACATATATGTGGACAGAAAAAGAAATTAAAAAGAAATTTAAAAAAATATTTATATACTTGAAAATTGTGCTAACTGAAATAAAAAACTTAGGCCCCACTCAAACAAAATGAGCCAAAGAAGTTGTGTGAGAGGAAAACAAAAAACAGAAAGTAGGAAGATTTTGCAATGTGTAAAAGAACTATGCAAACCTCAAAAGATATTGGGATGCCATAAGCAACATCTCCTATTACATCAGAATTAAGTTCTTCAAAACAGTCAAAATATCCACTTAGCTTTAATTGTTTTCTGTATCAGCTAGCTTAGAATATTACATTTCTTTCAACATTTGTATTGAATCCGTTGGAAACCACCACCCTAGGAAACAGGTAAATTACACACTGGAAATAATTTCAACACATATTATTTTAAATATGCTCAGACAATGGCAAGCAACCCTACTCCCATAGCTATATGAGCTGCCACTCATCAGCACTGCCACAGTAATAGACTGTGCACACTGCTAGTCCGCCCTAAAATGTAAACAAAACCGTGTACAAGCAGCTTTAAATCACTTTATTTCATGATTGCAACAAGTTAAGAGCACATGCATATTCCAACACCACTGCTTTCCTATCTAAGCCTTCCTATAATGATTTTAGGAAATCTTCTTGCCAAGCTTTACAACAGGCAGAAATAACTTGACTTCTTGTTACTAAAAGTGCAGGTTTACACCACCACTGATATAAAATGTCTGTGTATAAATTTTTTTTTTTTTTTTTCCAGAAAACCAAAACGAAACATCCAAGTAGTCCTTGGCAAGCAGAACCTCAAGAAGAAAGAGGATCATGAGCAAATATTTGATGCAGTGCAAATAGTTTTACATGGCAAATACAGAGAGGTGACGGGTCATGCCCTATACAATGATATTGGTAAATCCTTTATTTGATACTCTCATGGCTCACCTCCAACCTTTGTTGTTTGAAGTGCCTCTCTCCCACTGAAGTCAATGCAAAATTCTCATTGATACTATGCTCTGGAAATAATCAGGGAAAATTGTGATCTAGACAAGATTGAATCTTGAGATGTAAATTGTGATGGGCAAGCAGGAGGAGCCGAACAATAGGAACAGGTCCAGCAGAGGGGGGCAAACGGAATGTTGGGTTTATGCAGCTTGGCATGGTAACAACTGCTAACAACAGGGATCAAAGTTAGCTCCAAATACTTTTTCTTATTGTTTATCTCCCCTCTAGCACTACTTAAACTGCAGCCTGTTGATGGTCACTGTGCAGTGGAAACAAAGCATGTGAAAATAGCATGTGTCCCCGACTTCTTCCTTCCTGCTGGGACCTCCTGCTTCATTTCTGGATGGGGCACTACAGAGACAGGTACTTGTGGGCTAACTGGATTTTGGTGGGTGCTCCAGTGGCAAGGTGGACTGCTACTTTCAGTAGTAATTGCCAGACCCAAATGAGGACTTAGACAGTAGTGAAACCAAGACATGGAATTCAAAAATAAAGTTAGCTAAACCATGCCATGCAAATTACTCATTAGCAGAAATCTGCAACTGCAAAATCAACCAAACCTGTCAGAGTTCTGATAAGATGCCTGATGCATTTTTTAGCCTGCCATCCATCTCTCCATGTCATGGTCTTATCTGAAGACAGCTACAGAAGCAAGGCAGTATCAAGAGAGGCTATTGTATAGCTTGTGCGTTTCAAGACAGGACCAAGAAAGACAGGTATTTTCACATGGTTTTCCAGCCCATTGAGTCAGATAAAGCTCTTTGGAAGCAGCATCTGGACCTTCAGATGAACTGAAAAATAAAAAAACATCCCAAGCTTTTCAAGTTCAACCAGCCCTATCCAAAACCCTGTCTTGCCCAAGGTAAATCCTAAGGGGAGAAATTATTATGCTTAAAAAAAGATAATGGCAATTTTCTGAAAAATGCATTATCTCATGTTCTGATTGATGTGTTGCTGTAAAGCAGCAGAAGAAAAACTTGCCACTGAGGCTGCAGTAGGTATCCCAGTGCTTTGTGACTGATACAGCCTGATAAGGTACATGGGACCGAATTCTCCCTTTGTATAACTCTCACTGAAGTCCACAAGAAACAACTGTGTTCATTTGATCAGAATGCACCAACAGAATTTAATGGACATTTTTTTAAAGTTACAAATAAAAAGTCTCCCTTAAAAAGGGTAAGGGGTTTTTTATGGGTTTTTCCCCCAACAAAGAATATCAAATACCCTGTACGTGTTCAAACTAAATGGATCCTTCTTTGAGCAGAGCTATTATTAGCATTTCAGGAAATCACTGCAGAAATGGAATATTTCCTGAAACTCAGGCAGAACCAAACTTATAAACCACCTTTAATTATCTACAGATGTAGTACTTTGAAACTAAGGCTATTGCCTTTAGATGTCAAGTTATGTCTTTAGATTCACTGTAATTAATCATTGCCCTTAAATATTGTATGATTTTCAGTTTTCATCTGTTTCATTAGCTTGCATGTTAAAGCATCTTAATAGTAGCAGTCTTAGAAGTGCTGAGCAGCTCCAAGTCCCATGGGGATCTTTGGAGCTGCAGATAACCAGCACCTTGGAAAAGCAGAATTACACAGAGAGACCTGATTGGAACTAAATTCTGAATATGTGATTTAATTTTCATTTAGACAACAACTCTGTCCTGAGTGAAACTTCAGGGTGCAGCTCATTGGAAACTTATTATTTTATCCAGATAGTTCTTTCCATCCCAGGCTAGCGCATGCATGTCCTCTTGTGTTCCCCCATCCCATCTGTTTGCCAAGCAAGCTGGTTTTTTGAATAAAAGACAATTATGACAGGAATGGGAAAAAAGTGACTTCATTGTTTTGGTGCATATACCATAGGTGATTTATCCCATCAGCTGTTAGATGCCAATGTCAAGCTGATTTCACAGAGGAAATGCAATGAACCCAAACTACATAATGACAAACTGGACGATAGCATGTTTTGTGCAGGAAATCTTCGGAAACCTGGAATCGATTCTTGTGAGGTCTGTTGCTTTTTCTGTATTTGAGCACTAATTTTTTGTGTAAAGAGTCAGGCTGTGTAGAATTTTGGCAATGTGTTGCATATGTATCTGTTCTCACATCAGTGTATTTCAACAGCTTTTCTGCAGTACCCTTTGAGCCGTCCATCCTTAGAGCTAATATTGCCACTGTCACCTACAGGTGGATCTGTGGAATAAAGAGACTTCTGAGGCAGTTTGTCATCATAACCTGAAACCTTGCTCTTTTTTCCCCTCTATTTTGTTATGGCCTCTACTTCAACTGCCAAGTCTAATCTGATTCTCACTATCAGAGCTAAGGCTTGCAAGAGTCAATATTGATATTTCTTTTCATTACAGATGACACAAATGTGAAACAAGTTCATACTTATACCATTAAAAGGTAGAAAACAGTTTGAACAACACTTCCTAACATGTAAATTACCACTGTAAGGTGTAAAAGAAATCAGAAATGAAACACAAAAAATGAACAAGCAACTCAGAATAAGGCTATTTTGAGGCTTGTGAGACAACTTAAATTTTCATTAATTCCAGGGATCACATCTTTATCTTTCTGAGTTCAGACTCTGAATTCCTGGTACTTTCATGCCAGGGAAATTTCATGTGACCTTGTCAGATTTATGTCACAGACTGGAAAAAATTGAAAACTTACATCCAGAAAGTCTGGTATCACTTGACCTGATCACAGAACTGCAAGTCCACTTAGGGGCTAAGCAGCATCTGATGGTACATCTTTTAGGAAAAAAACATCATTACAGCTTCAAAGTCTTGTGATGAGAGAGAGGTATTCTGATTTTGGATACTATTTTGCTCCATGCTTTGAACATGTGTGCTTTCCTTCATCAGGGAGACTCTGGAGGCCCCCTGACTTGTGTACAAAATGGCTCCTACTACGTATATGGCCTCGTGAGCTGGGGTGAAGGATGTGGGTTAAAAAACAAGCCAGGAGTTTATACCCAGGTGACAAAATTTGCCAGCTGGATTAATGCTGCAATTCAGTCTGCATCAAGGTCATGAGGAGTGACTTGGAATGACAAATGGTAAGACTGAGAGTTTTACTGTTTTTATTAATTCCCTAAATGCCTCATCTTTGATGAAAAAGATTAGTGATATTTTCTCATGGCCTACATAGGACATACTTCAGCACCATCTTGAAAATAGCCCTAATGTCAGTGAGTTTTTCTGTTGTGGGCTTTGCAATAAGCCCACATTTTGTAGCTAAACGGATCGGAAAGTAAAGCTACTCCATTTCTTCTCCAAACAAATCAAAGGCCTTGATATCATGTTTCTAGATCTGCTTTACAAGCTGTGAAGTTTCTCCCATCTCAGCTGCTGCCAGACATTTCCTCTTCCCCTCATGCTTCTGTCTAAGCTGTGTTTCTTCTGAACTCACCAAAGCTATTGGTGTGTGCTCTTAAAGCCTGTACCATTTTTTACACACATAAGAATCACCATGTGATTGAGTTTGCAAGATTGCAGCCTTTGGAATTTCCTGAGGAGGGAGGATCAGGCAGGACAATTATTTTTAAAAGCACTTCTGTGGGTAAATAAGTACAAATTTCATTAGTGATGCGTTTCAGATTGAAAAACCAAACAAACTTTCAGTAATAGAATTATCTACTTTATTCCTGACTAGAGAATAATTACATATTATGCTCCAGATCTACAATGGTTTATATGTACTTAACCAGTGAGAGCTAGTAGTACTAAATGCTATTAAAAAAACTGTCTAAAACCATTGGGTAATTTGAGAGTTCTCATAAGATGTACCTGTCAAATTGTGTCATTTTTGCCCAATGATTCTGCAAATAAATTTGAAAAACAAGGGATTGGTATTAAATCAGGATATAAATAATAGACTTGTTTGTGAAGAGTAATTTTCTTAAAACAGTAATTTCACTCTCACTTGAATTCCGGGGTTTACAACCTTCTCTAAGCAGCTACCTAATGTGTCAATAGCTACTACCCCTACTGCAAAGAGTGATTCTGATTTTTTACTTTGGAAGGTTTGGAAAAAACTGAAGAACTGATGATCTGAATACATTCTGATAGTCTAGAACATATTCCCTGATGTCTGCTAGAAGACCTGCCTTTGGCAAGTCAGTGATAACTTTTCTCCCACTGGCCTTTGACTTGTTAATCTCTTAAACCACCTGAATCTTGCTTTTGTATTCTCTTAGGTAAATGGTGCCAATATTCCAGGAACACAAAAATATCCAAAAATTACATACATGGAATAAGAGTCACCTGATTTATTCATTACAAATTATTTCATATTCTACCATCAGTGGTACAAAGCTGAGCCTGCCAGTCATCTAGTACTAATTTCATTTACAGCTTTAAATAAATAGCAGAATCTGTAATACATTCAGTGATAAATCACAAAGTATCCACACAAAAATAAAATTGTCTGTTATAAATTGCAATGTTTTGATTGCCTCTTAAAACAAAAATTCTTAAATGCCATCTATTGTGTTTCCCAGAAAACTGGAAAAGCTACAGGATTTGCAGGACAAGATGAAGAACTATTTATGTTATGTCATGCTTCTGTTTACTTCTGATAAAGCTGCATTTGCCTTCTCTTGACTTGCAGAATTTCTGAAGCATCAGGATTGACTCCAACTTGCTGAGATCCTTCTGTCTCCAACTGGTCCTGTAAAATCACAAGCCAAAAAACTGTGAAACCTGCCAGTAGACGGGGAGGGTTTTAACTATTATCCTATAACAATATTTCATATTAAAAATTACATAACTGGCAAAAAATCTAAATCACTGTTCTGCATGGAGTGAATTTCTGCTGTGGAGAAGTGCAAAATATGGACCTGTTCATATAAGTGAGATACCTCACATACCAAAGGACTAAATGTGCTCAAGTCCTAGTTTCTATTTTGAAATAAAAAGCAAATCAGCAAAGGCCTGGGTTCCACATGGATTGCACACCTGTGGGTTTCCCTGGGGTCATCAGGTCATTATCACACCTTTGACTTAAGAAGATACTGCCTGTAATTCCCACTGCCTCCATTACTCAACCACAGTTTTCACTTATTTCCTGAGCAACTTTTCAGATGGGTATGTAAATCATGGATATATACTGTTTCTCTTGGTCTGGATTATTGTTTGACTTCTTACCAAAATTAACAATTAAATGATCAAAGCATCTCAAGTGCAGTGCTTCTCTTTCATTGTAGCTGGATGCTTCCTAACTGTAAGGGCTATGAGACTCCTGTATGGACTTGGACTGCTCTCTTCTGCTGGGACACTGCAGCCTGGGAGTCATCCCTGTGACAGAAGGAAAACCTGGACGATCCCTGCTTGTACTGCCTTTAACCTTGAGCTGGACAGAGGCAGAGGGGGCTGGAGCATTGCCCCTGGCACAAAGCCCCCCACAGCACATATTACGCTGTCAGGCGCCGACGCTCATCCTGTCAGTACGGCTGCCAGGGGAGATTACGTGGCAACATGGAATTACATGGCAGCAAGTGGTTCCTGATTAAATTAGGAAAAGAGAATGGGACTTGCATGGGGAGTCCCTTCTACCTCTGCTTCTGCTTTCCTCAGAGGTACTAGGACACTTGGAGATATGACATCACCCACAAGTTGGGGAAAGCACATCCTGACATGACACTGCTGAATTCCCTTCAATGGTTCCTTCAAATTAAGATGTGCACTAATGCACAAAGCTTCATGAGGGAAGTGCACATATCCTGTTCAGGTAACAGGGAGAACTGTAGACTCCAGGGAGCATTCAAAAGTGTTAGACAGGATGTGTGCAGGTAGGGAGCAGAGCTGTTGTGATTTGTGAGAAGGATGGTTTGCTCTACTTACAGCTCCAGGTCTGTACTGAGTAGAAGCCTGCAGCAATCCCATTTCCCGAAGGTATGCCAGCTCAGCAGCTCTTCTTGCCATTTCAACTTTGTGAGAGCCTGGGGGAGTCCAGCCAATGCCTCTGAGCCAGTTCAAGTCAGACTTGTATTTTATCTGAAAGAATGAAACAAGGACCAGGATGTATTATTTTGTTGCGCTCTAACCAAATCACATGCCCTGGGTATTCAACAGAGAGCATATAAAGGAGCAGCAGAGTCAATAATAAACAAATTATTCATTTTTAGCAAGCAGACTGTGGTTCTTTCAAGGTGATTTTGTTGGTAGGTAAGGTTTGCAAAGGAGATTGCACAGACAGCTGCCAGTTTAGGGAAGGACAGCACTGTTCAGCCACACTTACATCACTCTGCAGCTTGTAGGCCTGCTTTGCATGTTTCACATTTAACTGCTCAGGGTCACAAGTGTATTGGTGCAAGGGCTGCCTGTAGTTAACATTGCTTGCAAGCTGCTGGCTTCTCTTGGCATGGAGGAATCCTGGCTGGTTGAGGTGACTCTGGAACTGTCCCATGTTTAGGGCATAATCACTTCTGTACTGGAGGTCACTCTGGAGTTTCCCCACTCTGAGGACATGTCTGATTTTGGGATCATCATTTGCATTGAGGAATCCAATCTGCTGGCCTCTGTCTCTCAGGAAGGCTTCTCTGTATTTGTACTGCGTGAAGTACAGAAGAAAATCTCATTTTCACATTCAAATTACCTTCAAATTCTGTTATGAAATAACTTATCCTCTCCTGGCTATCAATCATGTTTCCTGTAGTGCACAAAGACCAAGGGTTTGTTTGATATCAAACCACATCTCCTAATCTAACAAGACACTTTAGAAGAATTATTTTTGTGATCATTTTTAAAGGAGTGGAAAGACTTAGGGGGCCTAAAATGCTCATCTCTCAAAAGTAATCAGAGATCTTCCTACTGTTGCACTCTTGGGTACACACAATACACAGCTCAACCAGTGAAGCTCCTCCATCTTTAACTTTCTTGCCAGCTGTGGTCTTCTGTGTTCAAAGATAACCCACTTTATCCTAAACCATGCTTTAACTATTCATAGCCTAGTACATATATTATTTGATTAAATCATAATATGTCTTCTTCCCAAGAAAAACTCTTGGGATATAAGACAGAACAGCCTGGTTTTGGACATTACTAATGGCAGACTTCAGCTGGAAATCTTTGCACTTAAGCAGTACTTTGTTTCATTGGATCACCAATTTTCCACACCAAAACAAAGCTCATTCATGTCAGACTTCACCCATTTTTACAGGATGGGGTGGCATGGGAAGAGGTTTGGGAAGTGCTTGAAACAGAACAATTCTTACATCACTAGCAATCTCTCTTGAAGCCTTTGCTGTCTGGAATGGGATGGCGTCAATCCTAAAATCATAGCCAGATGCCCTTGTCTGTTCCCAAGATGTTTTATACAATTTCTGTGTTGAAAAGAAAAGAAAAAAAAAGTCGTTTCCCCCTGCAGTTTCTTAAGTGCAGTCCCATAACTGCAATAATAAATGTTTTATCCTACTGGGCTTATTTGTATCAAGAGTCATCAGTACTATCTCCAAGGTTTTGATCCAGTTCTATAGCACTTCAACTTCTTTTCTATTCACCATAATGATAAAATGCCTCATCTGAAAAGTGCCACCAGGGTTTCCTTTTGTACTTGAATGTGGTTGTTTTTGATGTGATTTAATTTCTATTAGAAACTGTGATGCATCAGTCACATCAATATTGCATTGATATTGCCCTTATTCTCTCTTTTGATGCATCCACTCACAGTGTCTTGGGTTTCCTGGCATCCTAATTTCAATACCAGTTATTTCAAGCTTTTCAAATGATCCTCATCTCTATCCCCAGCCACATGTGGCTTCATTAACTCATGTGGAATAACAGCCGATTCTAATGTGACTTTGAGGATGTGAATCACATTTACATCCTGAAGAGAAATTGCTCTAGATTTGGTTCTTCTTCTATTAGTAGCTTTCTTAAAATAGCTTCCAGTCTGCAGGTCCTACTACACAGCCATGGTATCTTAGCTAACATTTTCAGCTGTCCCTTTCTGATTTTATTCATTTGCTTTCTGTCAGTCTTTGATTCATCCCTCCTGGGGTTTGTGACCATAGGAAAAGAAGTACAAAATCCACTCCACATTTTATGACAATCTTCTGTTTCGCTGGTGACTGTAGTGCTAGGTGGTAATAAATTTGAAAGTAAATTTAGATGCCAGAAATCCTGCAAGACAGCCAGGGCAGAAGCAATGCAAGCATCACCGTACACCCTGCTAGCAGGGATGACCTTTCATTTGTGTGCAATCTTTGCACGTAATATTTGCCTTTTTACATTTTCCTCTATTGCTTCAAAATGTAATTTCTACTTGTTTCTTTCACCTGTCTCAAAGCTCCTAGCAAACTAAGGTCATTCTGACCCTACGGGTAAAGACAACAGCTATTTAGTCAGGGAACAGGACATTAGGAATAGACTAAGTTCCTCTGTATGAGATAATGTGAAAACAAATTTTCTTTAAACTAATTCCACTCACTGATTCAGTTACATCCATTGATGACAACTATGCCTAAGGGATCATTCCAACACAGTGTTGCAGCTTCAGAAAGGTAGAATATATAGTCTAGGAAAAAGGAGTCTCCCTCCTCTCTCACCCAAACAAAACAAAAATTATTTTAATTTGTATCTAATCGTATCTGTAATGAAGGTTTGAAATTCTTAATAATAGCTTACTGCCCTCGAAAATTAAATGACTGCTCAAAAGAAAAATTAGCAGACTTGTCCAGATTCCTCCAGCTCAAACCTAGCAACTGTTGGCTGTTCACTGCCTCTGTCTTCTTTTAATTCTGGACAGGTTCAGAGAATTTGGCTTCTACATATATGCAAGTTTTTATTCCCAAACAAGTTTACCAAGTCGGCTGCCCAAAGGAGAAGGTTTGCTTACATCACTGATGTAGAGCGCGTTCTGGCGGGCTCGGATGAAGTCCGGATGATCAGGAGGCAGCGTGTACCTGTGCCTGTCTTCAGAACCTCCAGCCTTGTACAGTCTCTGTGGGGCCAAAAGTCATTGAATGCGGGTGATACTGGAAGCAATGTCAAGATCGATTCTTTCATGCATTATGGTACAGCAAAAGTTAAGATCACTTATACAGTAGAATGAAACCTACATCATTGCACTGGAGGTAGCTGTTTTTGGCATGGATCAAACTCGGAGAGTCAGCCACAGCAGTGAACTTCAGACTTTCTGGCTTCTGACGGTACTTTATCTGACAGGGGCAAGAGGCAACAAAAATAAACAAAGGAAAAAAAAAAAAAAACCAGGAGATGTTTCTGTTAATGATATATGACAATTCCAGGAGTGTGATAACTGGGGTAAAACATAAAAGACACTTTTCTGAAGCCACTGTTCTGCTTTAGTCTCAGTTGCTCTTTCAGCTAGGGTCTGGGGATGCCTTTGTATCAGGCAGAGAACTTTTTTGTGAGTGTGTCTATGTGTGTGTGTGCACAAAAGACTTCCCACTAAAATTGACATGCAAAAAGCTTTTGAACACTACACTTTTGACAGCTCATAATTTTTCTCCATTAATGCATGATGCTTAGCAGGCAAATGCCCCTTCATTGTGGTTGTCAGTGCTGTATCTTTCTATTCAACTTCCATAACCACCTGCTTAGAATTTCATAATGGAGTATCCTGCATTTATTTATTGCTACATGTTTTGCTTATACTCTTGTGTTTCATTTGGAATGGAAAATATTCAGCAGGTGTCACACAGTGGACTTGCGTCTCCCATACTGCTTCTTGGTAACTTACACCTTGTATAAACAGGCTCCCACATCAAAAGGAAATGATAAGCTACATTCGTAAGTGTCATGTAACGAGGAGCCTTGATGGTAAACAATTCCTACAGACTTGCTATCCCATGAAAGATTTATCAGTTACCTCACTGATGAGCTCTCCAGCCTTCTTTACACTTTCTATCTGCGGAGATCTCAGAGCCATCCAACCAACTCCTTTCATGAAGTTCAGGTCTGATTTATAGCGATGCTGTTAAAAAGGAAAATCGTTATCTATCAGTTTTGTACCCACAGCTATTAAGGTTTTTTAAAAAACTCCCTGGTTCATATTCACATTTTGAGGTTTTTCATTTGCCATGCACATATCAGATCGTAAAGCCAAACTGTTTGCATTTGTTCGTTCCACCAGGAATTAAATAATGTATCATATGCAAGTTACAAGAGAAGGCCCCACGAGTGAATTAGTATGACTCAAAGCAGTAAGTAATAACCTGTTTGTACTGGGCGTAAAGGAATCTCATTTGAAATAATTTTATGAGGTGAGTACAAGTCAGGAATACTAATTATTTTATCTGGTTCATGGTTCCTCGTTAACCCCATTTCTAGGAGGACACATTACTCTTTCTTTACTCACATTAAAGGCTTGCTTTTAGCTCCTAATCTATTAAAGAAAATCAGGCAGACCCAATAAAAAGTGAAAGTCAGCAAAGTGCCTGGAATCCCAACAATCCTGACTTCACTTTAGAATCATTGTGTCTCACTCTACGACTAATCCAACCACCCAATTTTCTTTTTTGTTCTCGCCTATATGTAAAAAGGACATGACAATCAGCTAACTAATGTGTGCTGTACATTACTCTACTAGGCAGTGAGGGCATCAGGCAAAACCATCATCATCTTTTGTCTGGACTCCTGACTTGGGGTTCTAAAGGCAAGAGCCAAGTGCTGAGGTTCTCCCTCACGCCCTAGCCTTTCCCTGTCTAGGCAGGCTCAGGAGTAGCCTGAACTACTGGTACAGCCTACCTACTGAGGCTGGCAGGGTCCAAAAGAAAGACTTTACCTCACTCTGCAGCATGTGGGCTCTTTTGGCACACTTCATCTTCATGTCTTCTGGGAGTGCTGTAAATTCATGGAGTCTCTTTCTGTAATCTTGATCACTTGCTAAGGCCTGGGCTTTCCTGGCATGGACAAGATTGACCATGTCCATGGGCAGATGAAACTGAGACCACACGTCTTGGGATCCCTTCTTATACTCTTGTTCACTCTGTAATTTGGCAGCGTGCAAGCAGTGCAGCAGCCTGGCATCATCCAGAACACTCCTGGCACCAATGCATTTTCCTCTCTCCATTACAAAATTGTGTTTATATTGGTACTAAAAAATTTAGAAAAAGGGTAAAAGTGAAAATGTGCCAAACTTAGACCAGCTATTCCAGATAAATACCTTAAGATAAATTACTAAAACATCTATGTTTTCTGTAAAACCAGTCAAAGTATGTAGCAGTAGAAAGCAATTATTTGAATATCTCATTGTTCTCAAATTTAAATATCACAGGAGCTAAAACATTAAAGTTAAATGCATCTCATTGTATTTTCTGAATATGCCCAAAACATTGACCATGTTTAACCTCAAATCTGTACTTTTATTATCTCTCTATGAATTCTATTCCTATAGCTCGGAATGAGAATGTGAGAGAAACAAACAAAAGACAGAAGAAAAAGAAATCCATACAAAAGCAAAACACTGTGCACTCTGTAGCCTTCAGATTTGCAAATGCCACCCAGCTATTTTAAAGAGTAAATTCAGTTTTCTTGGAAAGAATAAGAACCAGCAACCCCTCATTCTCATCTTAGCTGGGACTATGACTCTCCCTGTGATCTTGCATTTATCCTCTCTGTGAAATAGTGATGATGATGATAATGCTTATTTATACAGCATCAACAGGGTGCTTAGAACTTTAAAGGAAAGGCCTGGGCCCTGAAGAGTTCATAATGTAGTTGAAATGGGATAATAACACTTATCTACCACACAAGAGAGTTGTGGGGATTAAATTACAGCATCTAATGTTTATAAAGTGCTTCCAAGATGAAGGGCCAAATTCAGATCTGTTGTAAGTGGATGTAATTCTATTACAGACTTGTACCCTCTCGAGCAGATCTGAAGCTGTAACCAAAAGCACTCTGCAAAATATGGTTAAGTATATATTATAAATTACAACTAGAAATGGTTGCTTCATTAAACAAACACATGTGAAATATATTTGTATTTTATCACATTAGAGATACAGTATGCAACTAAAAACTACACAAAATGAAGACCTTTTTCCATCTTCCTAGAATTTATTAAATATCTTGTGAAGGAGGGATGAACCTAGGCTTTCTGAGAAATGGGTACCACCATGTCTGAGTGTTTTGCATACAACAATCTAAATGATAGGATATTTATAAGGATAAGATTACTTGTTTCCTCTATTTTAGAAGTTAATGGGATACATATATACAGGAATTTGCACTGATTTTTACTTCCTAACCAGACAGGGCACTCCTGAGTTTTGGAGATTTGAAGAACCCTCAGCCTTTTCTCATTTCATTTCAATTTGGAAATACCAAATACTTCCAAAAGTCAGTTCAAAACAGAGTGGACAGAGTTATCAGGCACTTTATAATATGAGGAGCCAACTGCCTGAAAAAGAGCAGAATTCCTTTTCTTTCTATTTGCAAATACTTTAATTCATTTGCTATTTCCCACTGGAAGATGTTTAACCTGGCTTGGTTCCCGATTAGCAGCAATTCTTCCTCTTCTTTTTTTTCCTAATTCACACAAAGAATCTCATTCATAAGTAATATATTCTGTCTCACACTTGTCTCACATGGTTATGGAGTTGCTTTAATTCAGTAAAATCTGCTTTAGACATTGTTTTACATGAAGTTAACAGAAATTAGGCAAGAAGGGAGGTTGAATCATTCAACTCACATCACTGGCAATTTCTCTGGAGGCCCTGGCAGTCTGGAACGGGAGTGCTTCCATTGTCAGCTTGTAGCCTTGAGCACGTAGATTATGCCAAGATTCTCTGTATTTTGCCTAAAGTAGGAAAGGCATATGTAGACTGCTGCTTTACTTTTAAATGCACAAAGGAACAAACAAAGGAACCATCTTTCATTTGTTATTCTGTGTTACAGTCTCATTCTTTATAATCAAAGGATTTTTTTTTTAAATTATCTTTGGGAAATCCTACTAACTCAGACAAAACATGTCTCGTTCTTTATGTAGATTTAATTTACTCACAACCGTATATATGCTAATGGAGATAAGTATCATTATAATCAAATCGGGGAAAGCATAAATAGAATAGACCTCAAATTTCCTCGACTTATCCATCTTCCTTGCCACTGCACAATTCATCCTGCATCTGAAATAATTTGTAAGAAATACTGAACAAATTCTTACATCACTGAGGTTGGCTGCATTTATTCTTGCCCGTGTAAACTCTGGCAGACCCAGGGTTGGTGTGTAGTGATGCCGACTGTCCTCTCCTGCTGCTTTATACAGGCGCTAGGAAAGAGATCAAAGGGGCAACAGAAATTAAATTTCTCTCTTGTTTCAATAATACAACAGCAGTACTTAAGTTGTTAATGATTGTGACAACTGTAGTCAGCCATCTTTGAAAATAGCTGAGGATATCGTTGAAATTGCAGAGTTTTTTTCTGGGCATAAAGATGGGGCTTTTGCTGGGCATAAAAGACATTTACATTAATTTTTATAAATATATGATGGCTACATTCTCAGTCTTGCATTGTTACATTCCCAGCAGGGCAAAAGTAGACCTAAGAATATCAAGAGCATCATGAATGTGTGTGAAACAAAAAGGCAAGCATTTCTGGTCAACTGGGCATATTTTCCAGCCTGAATTTTTTTCTTCAAGTTATTATATATGATTTTGATAATTTTTCTACAGGTTTTATCTTGGTTTTTTCAGATTTTAGAAAAGTGATTATTTTCTAAAAAAGAAGAGGGTCTTTGAGAAGCCCTCAAAAGTGGATCATAGTATGCAAATAAGCTCCCTCTAGAACACTCCACAGTCCTGATTTTTGAGTCTCTGTTTCATGCAAAAAACTTGATAATGGAACTCTGTTGTATGGATACTATGTGAGCTTTTTGAAAGATATTGAATTGAAAATGGTATTAAATGTTTGAGAAAAAAAAAGGATCGATCTAACTGTAAAAAGGCACAAATCAGTGATGCTTTCGCTTTTTTTGATGCATTTAGCTTTCAGAACAGGGCTGTCTCTTTCCCAACTCCATCCCCAGCTTGCTGCATTTTGAAAAGCATATTTTCTGATTCACGTTAGGAGAGCCTACCTCATTAGCAATCATATTGCTGAATTTTGCATGAAGGAGGCCAGGAGAGTCTGTCACCGACGTGTACTTGAAGGAATGTGGCTGCTGACGATATTTACTCTGAGTTCACACACAAAGAAAAATGAGCAGAATAAGTAAATTGCCTTGTCAGATAAGGGATTTTTTTCCAATTCTAGTGGTCGAGTACTGCTTTTTGTGCTTAAAACTCTAGTTTGTCTATTGATCCTCAGACTAATTTATTTTTTGCTATTCTGAGTTAGGTGCATTCAAGTCTAACGGGGAAAATGAAAAGTAAATAAGGAATAAGACATGAAAGAAGAGTGCTGCCGTGCTGAATATGCTGAAAACAGTAATGAGATTATTTCATCCCTTGGTGTCATTAACCCAGGGTACTGGAATTACAGCAAAGGCAGTCTGGTCCAGAGAGAGAAGGAGCTGTATAAACCCACTGGATTTTTTTTTCTTTTGGTGAGTAAAAATGGTTTCACCTGGCCTGTGGCCCGACACAGCTCAGAATTATGAACAAAACAACTGCAAGATCACTTGTTCCCTGGAACACAACTCCTACTTTTCCTCATTTCACATATATGTGAATATGAGTAAAGGATGCAAGATTTGAAGCTAGGAGAACTGTATGAAGAGAACAGATGAAATAAAAGTCCAGTTACAGAGGGAGAAAAACAACAGCATACATAAGCAGCAGGTGAAAAACAGACTGACTGTAGAACAGGTGTAGAGATGAGGACCCTGCAATACTCTGGGCACTGCACAGCTCATTCTAATTTTGGAGGACTAGTACAAGATATTTATTATAGATAGGCACAATTTTATTTTTAGTTGAAAAAGCCCATTTAAATTCTTAAGTAAATAATATAAAATAAATACCCCCTGGGTCTGAAACACAAGAGAAAAAATTTGCAAAAAAGTTAGCAAAGTTTGCAAAGCCTAAAATTCCATCAGGTTCACCCATCTGCAGTTGGGACACGAGTGGAATGATCAAACGCAGGGGGAGGGAGTGTGGCATTATCCAGTAAGTCACTTTGCCAGCCCAGTCTAATAGAAAGACATCTGGCAAACTCTTGTTCGTAGTGGAGAAATCAAAACCCTCTTTTGTTACCTCGCTGATGAGTTCAGAAGCTTTCTTCTTTCCTTCAATCTCCAGGGCCCCTGGGGTAATACATCCAACGCCTCGCATAAAGTTCATGTCAGACCGATATAAATTCTAAGGAAAACCAAGCAGAAGTAATTACGAGTTTGCATTTGAGATGCCCTATATTTATTCACCCAAAAATGTGCAATAACTCCGTTAATATTAGTACCTACCACAGGGAGTTTGTACACATTGCCCTAAGATCTTGTGTCTGTGTGAATACAGCCCTGACAGATCTACAGCACAGATGCAGGATTCTGAGGACTACTGACCCTCATGAACACCAAATGCTGCTTCAACTTCTGTCTTCCTTTTGTAACCTTGAAAAAACCTTCTTTAGGTACATGGATTTTCTTCATATATAATACATAAATCACAGGTAGATATTATTGATTTATAAATATACATAAAATAAGATTAGTTTATAAAAACATAAGAAAATATGGCTTTTTCTTTCTCTTTTAAGTAAGAGAAACTGCAGACAAACTAGCCTTGATTTTTAACAGTTCTGAATGGCCCTAATATAAGCAAGGAACTCTAAGGAAAAATAGCACTGAACCACTGCATACAGTTCATTAAAATATTTTCCAGATCACCAAACCTAGCAGTGACTCCCTGTAAATATTACATTTTCAAAAGTTAGCAAAAGATTCCTGATAAATACATAACAACAATATTATCTCATTTGAAAATGAGTAGGATGAGGAGTAGGATGGATGAAACTTGCCTCAGAATATCTGATAATGTGCGTTTCACCCAAATTAGGATTACATTTGTTTGGACAGAGTCTGTCATCTCTAAGTCTGTTGGCTGAAAGTGTTAAGGTGATATACAGTAGCATTTTGTGGCCAGGTATGTTTTTAAGATACAGCCCCTCCTGAGGTCTGCAGGGGCAATATGATCTATGAAAAGCCCTTTGTTCAAGACTCTGCCTAAGGATTTGTAAGGCATTATTTAGTTAATTTTACTCAAGGCTACGTAGGGAGTTAAGTTCATCCTTAGAATTTCAGTGGATATGTCTTGGGCCAGAGCTTAGAAGTGTCTTAGAAATAATATTTTTAGTGCGAAAGGACACATGAAATTTCACCCGATCCAAACCAAATTGTTAACACCAGTTGGAAGTGGGTTTGCATTAAAATGGGTATTTTTACCAACTGTCCAATCATCCTCACTTGCAAATCCTTCTCTACCCAATCATCAAAGACTGCTGGACTTTATCTCTTGGAATAAACACATTTTGTTCCACTGCCCAGTAAGATAAATGTCTCGTTCCTACACGTAACCAAGGGGAAACAGCGCTTGTTGATCCCTCAGCTGCTCAAACACATGCTGCCCGGTGTGACGAGTTGGAGCAGAGCTCCTTGCAGCAGAACCCGTGGGGGAACAGCCCTGGGATGCTGTGCAGTCACCTCGCTCTGCAGCCTGTGCGCGTTCTTGGCGCAGCGCAGCCGCGCATCCTCGGCCAGAGCCGTGTAGCGGCGGAGCAGCTGCCGGTACCCCCGCTCCCCGACCAGCGACTGCGCCCGCCTGGCCTGCACCAGCTGCACCATGTCCAGAGGCAGCTGGAACTGAGCCTTGGCGTCCTCGAAACCTTGCTTGTATCTCACCTATCAAATGAGAAACAGATCACATAGATACCGCAGCAAAGTAATTAAAATTCAGGTTTTGATCAGAAGAGACGTTCCTCGTATTTCTTCCATTTTGCAGTATAAATTATTCTTTTTAAAACAAGTTCTCTAAGTTGTTTAACCGTACTGTGAAAGAGCAGTAATTATAATTAGAATATGAGGTAGCCTATTCTTCATCAAAAAGTAGCCATCTATATTATATAAAATTAAACTGAGATTATTTAGTTAGTTTTTTGTTAAAACTTGATACATTGAATCTATAAAATTAAGCAAACTGGCAAGAGAAGTCCTAATTCACTGCATTTTTAGAAAGTGCTGCAAAAAGAGACAGCTGCTGACTGAGTCATTTATATTAGAATTAGAAAAACCCTCAGGACAAAATATTTGTTGGTTTGGCCAGTTTAGTTTCATAATTTCAGACTACTGTTTAGTGCTGGGTTGGATTTTTTCACTTCTTGTATCTGTTCAGGAGAAGAAAGGAGCAGAAATCTTCAAAGAACTTTTTTCACATGACATTTCCCAATCAGATTATGCAAATTTGAGATGTTCAGGCTGTTCACCAGGATAATGAACATCCAGAGCTATTGGTGATCATCAAATGACTTAGAGTAACCTGACAGATGGATAAATTCTTCAAACACTTTCTACTACCTGTTTGTCTAAGCCTGCCATCACTACAAGACCAGCACTTCTGAGAACCATGTACACACTCCCATATATGTCACTGCTTTCTGGATCAAGCCACAGTCTTCAAAATGCACTGAAGAGTTACAATTCTTATAAGCAAACAACAAATGATGTCATTCTTGGCACATGTCAAGACCAGAAGGAGACTATTCCCCAACCAAAAAGGTCAAACTTGAAATACCATAAACTCATTTATCCTCTGGTCTTTCAGAAAAACAATAAATTGAAAATCAACACTGAATGATTTCATTTACTTCTGTACAAAGACCACTGCTAATTCTCAATTAGACCTGCTTCTGAGTGATGCTTTCACAGAGCAAAATATTCTGTGATAGGCAGCAGTGGTAGGAAGCAGAGGAGTGTGCTAGAACACAAGGTTCTTTTACTGACAAATTAATGGTTTTGTAAATAACATAGAAGAATGGCAAGAATATCACAATTATATTAATACACCTGAAAAGTGGGACAGAAAGCACTAAGTTTACAATAAATAGGCTATTCTACAGCTAGTCCACAACTAAGTGCACCTTCATTGAGGACCTACTCACAGTTAGGAAACCAATTTAAGAATGCCCCCATCGTTTTTCTTGTACTCACATCACTCTGCAGAGATGTTGCACGGACTGAATGAGCAATATGAATGTCACCATCCAGGCCACATGAGCCAGCCATCTGGCCTTTCATTTTCTGAAAGGCTTCCTTATATTTGTGCTAAAAAGGAAGTAGGAGCAGAAATGTGGATAGGAGTAAACAGAAGTATTTGTCCAGCTGTTAAAACCTGAATAAAAGGGCTTTCATAAGATAGTAATTTCTGACAATATTCAGTATGATAATAAATCTGAATTAAGATTTAGTGGGTTCTAGGAAGACCTCACCGAACTGTAATCCCTGTGACTGTGCAGGTAAACTGCTCAGCTTTGCTTTCACAAACGTGCCTTTGCTTATTTACCAACAACCCCTCACTGTGGCTGCACCTCCAAAAGCAGCACTAACTAGTCTGAGGCCAGATGCCTCCCAGATGCAGAGCTGGCTGGACATGCTGTTCCCATTAAAAGTCACTCAGCAGGGCAGATACAGTCTGGAGTGACTGACATGTCCTACTGGACAGAATCAGCAGCAGGTTCACGTACATCACTGATGATTTCACCCGAAGCCTTTGCTGCCTGGAAGGGGATGGCATCCAGTTTCAGCTGATAGCCACCATCTCTCATCCTTCTCCAGGACTCCTTGTAACGAGTCTAGGATATATGGAACAGAAATAAAGAAGAATTGCTGTTCAGAGGGCTGACATTGCAGCATTATTGAAACCCTAGAAATGTTACCACATGAGTTTCATTCTATTCTAATGCAAAAGGCAAGCACAAATCAAACTATCAATGCACGACAGGAATTATGGCAAGACAAATGCCCACTATAAAAGATTATTTATTTGATCATTCTTAATTTTTCTAATGTAGGTGAAGTTGGATAAGAACTTTGATTTTCCACATTACTTCAGAAATATTTAGACCATAAAATGATCATATACTGCGTAAATGAAAGAAATCCTGTAGGATTTCCTGTTTAGGACAAACAGCAAAACACTATCAACATCTCCACTTTCCTTTAAAATATTAAAGGTCAGGTTTATACCTCACTGATATTCATAGCATTTAATTTGGCCTGGAGGATTTCAGGAAGATCTGTTGTTGGTGTATACTGATGCTTTATACTCTCTCCGTGCTCCTTGTACAGCCTCTGCAAACAGAGATGGATTTCAGTAGTAAGTACTCTCTACATGTTGAATCATTAGTTCAAACAAAAACATTAACAATTAACTTTATGGAAAGCAAACACTACAGAAAAGCAGCAGAGGCATTAATAAATACAGGTAATTTTATCAATGAAAATGGATTCAAAAGGCTTTGGGATCTGATACACTTATCAGCTAGAGTATGCTAGAGAGGAGCTCCTTGAAGTTTTGAGTGTGTAAATCAATGTATATGAAAATTCAGATATTTGAATATTAATTTGATAAAACTTCCAATATATGTGGGTGGGGAGAAGAAAAATAAACAGTAGTGATTAAGGGTGTGCAGCAATGAGTAGCCCACTAACACTTTGAAATTCCACAGAAATACAGGAAGTTGAAGATCCCCAAACACCTCTCCAAAGGTGCTCAATTTTAGCAGATAAATGGGATGGTAATTATCTACACAATTACTCCAAATTTATTTCCAGAGTTAGTTGCAAAGGGGTGCTCAATAGTCAATGGGAAGAGATTGAAACACCTCAGAAGGTGATTTATCCCATCACAGGTGTCTGTGTGTGTCACTCACACCAACCCTTGGAGGAAGAACACAGAGCTGGCCCAGGACCAGATAACTTTCAGATGTCTGCAGACAGGTAAGAGGAGTTCTATGCAATTAACTGGAACTGGAACTTCCCCTGCAGTGGCTATGCAGAGTTCTCCTTCTCATATTGTTTTTCTTTGCTAGCCTAGTTTTCTTCTTTCATTGACACCATAACTTCCAGATGGGTACAGACAGACACCTTTCCTTGGCCTTAGACACGATCCATGTCTGGAGCACCTGACTTGCTTTCCCCAGGGTATTATTTCTGCAGAAGGGTTTGAGACCCTCTAGATTAGAATGGACCCCTCCATTTCACCTGTCTGACACATTTTAGCAGCTGGGCCCACTTGTATTGCAGCTCCATAAGAAGAAAATTAATGAGAACTCCATGTCTGAAGAAGTAGAGCACCAGACTGATTTTGACTGTGGCTCAGTGCAACAAAATTACTTATATTTATCCTGCCTGAGATGTAAGCCTTTTGGATCTTATTAATTAAACCAAAGGCGCAGACACCAAAAGTATTACAATAGCATGTGTTTTACACAAAGTCTTTCATCTTCTCCTTCACTTTAAAAATATCTATTTTCAAAATAAAACATCCTCTCATGTTTGAAACTTGTCTTTTTTGAGTGACTTTTGCTTATTATTCACTTCTGTATTATCCCAGTTAAGTCTACAATATTTTTAAATCGCTCTTCTATTAAAAATAAACATGTTTAAACACCAAACAGCCTCAATTTTTCTCTTTAAGGTTTCCCCTCCTGGATTTCTCTCTCAGCAGGATGACAGCTTGAAATAATTTATTTTTCCTTCCTTGTCATGCTTTACATTTTATTTCCAAAGAATATGCAGAAACTGAAATTTGAAAGATCTTTTTGTAAAGGGGAAAGAACCCCAAACATGTTCTTCCTTAATGAGTATCAAAAGGTCAAAATTCTTTAAAGGTCAAAGGTCAGTCTTACTCCTAAATTTTACTTCTGAAAATAAATGAGACATTAAGTGCTTTCTGTACGAAAACCCCATTCACTACTGTGGGATCTCCTCCCAGTCCAAGTTAGAAACATGCTCTTTGTGGGATGCACCACACCAGAATACAAAAGTTTCATGGTTCCAAGGGATAATCTCAGAGAAAGGAAGAGAGAGAAAGCCAGTGCTTCAATCAGGTCGTTCAAAGAGGATACCACTCTTATAATCATAATGTATATACATTATAACTTACATCCACAGCCTGGTTATAACTAATTCTAGCCTGGATCATCTCAGGAGTGTCTTTAATACTGGTAAACTTCAAAGCATATGGATGCTGACGGTACTTCTTCTGTTGAGCAGAAAAAGATCAAAGCTGTGAATTTTGTGCTGCTCTTTCATGCTATTTGAAAGAGAAAAATCATAGGTTGCTGGAGATTAGAGTGAATTTGTGAACATAATTATTATTCCTCTTTCCTCATCTTTATGTCCTAGGTACTTTCAGATTAATATTTGTTTCAATTCAACAATAACCTTTTGCCAATTAATATTAATCTTTAAATATAAGAAAAATATTTCAAAATCAGGTTCTGCTTACCTTAATACTCCAGAACTCAGTATTTTTAAATCTTTTCTACATTACTTCAAATTGAGTATGAAGGATTGTATTTTTAATTTAAAGTTCCTTTAAGCAAGAAATTATAGACAATTGTAGTGTGTTAATAATGGCAAATATTTAACTTACTGGTTAGGTTACCTCCTTAAACCTGCAGCAAATCTGTGCAGTCATTGACACGGTACCTAATTGTTATGGCATATCTTCTATATAATGATACTAATTTTGCTTGCTGTTAAAGACTCATAGTAGCTTCTGAGAGCTTCTTGGTCTTGTTATATATACATAATTAAGGTGTAGGCAGTTCAGTGGCAAAATGACAGTTTTTCCATTTGGCCAGGTCACTAAAAGCTTCCCTTCCTGCAGGACCTGTCTGAAATCCATCAATACCTTTATCCCTTCTCCAAAGAGCACATACTTAATTTTCCAAATGCCTGAGATAAACTCATGGCTTGTAATTTTCTTTAAACTGAACTGTGACCCACAGAAGTTTATTTGAAGCAACATCTTGACCCTTCAAAGACTAAAAATACCAATGTAAAACACATAAACACTTTAAAGTACTATAAACTTATAAGTAATGTTTTGGTTTTCAAAAGTAATATCTTAAAACTGAGCAAGCTTACTGAGTTTACAGGGAACAAAAGTTAATCAAATTTGCTTTCTTAATCAAATTTGGAGACAAAGCAGAGTTGACAGAACATCTCTGCAAAAAAATTGCTAGAGATTATATCCTAGCAATTGTTTTTTATCAGTATTAGAAGGACTGGTCACTATATATAAGAAAGGACAAGGCTCATAGCAACCTAATATTACTTAGTACTCACAGAAAGGTTGAGACTAACAATCTAGGGGGTTAAATTTCTACTCAGCAGTTTTCACTGCTGAAACACCCAAGTGGAATTCCTATACAGATTCACAGTTATTATTCCAGCTGGCCTTACTGTAGCAGCTTTTATAAAGCTACCTTGCTTGACACCAGCTGAGGATCTCATTGATTTGTCTAAAAAATCACTCTTCTTACAATGGATGATTACATGGGGGAAAAAAGTAGCGTTAGCAATCAGTCTAAACGATGACTGCATTTTTTCTGAGACTCCACAGACCAAATGGACACATGATTCCTGCATCATAGTTATTGAAAAACCACATGATTCAATCTCTTGCAGCAACAGCTTTGGCCAGCAGGACTACCTCTGAAATAACTGAAACAGAATACTAGGAACCTTTTAAACATTTCCACCAGAGCTTCATTTGAAGGGCTCATGGGACAGGCACGAAGTACTCTAGTCTGACTTCTTCTGTAAGTGATATTGGTTATAGGGAGAAATAAGGATGAAAACTATTTGGGCTGATAGACAGCTACAGACAGAGATATCTATATGAATTTCAATGAAAAACCAGCAAGAAGGAATCATGTATCTGTTACAAAGGAAGATTCTGGGTCCAATGGCTCCATCTTTTTATCGTCTCTCCTGTTTTGGTTCATTAAAAAGGTAGGCTAGTGGGTAGCAATTGAGCACTGTTTGATTGCCATTATTATTCATAATATCATTTGTCACCTACTTTGTTTTTGCAAAGGCTATATGGACTCCTACTGGTATGTGTTTGGTATCTGGTTTCCCTCTAATTATCAGTCCTATCCCTGGTTTTGAGGGCTTTCATGTGGTATGCCTTTTTCTTTCCCCTTTGAGTGGAAATTATTTTAATTTTATACAGACATTTTGCACGCATTATGCAGCAAATTCTGTTACATGCTGTCATGAAATCTCACCTCACTAATGAGTTCTCCTGCCTTCTTAGCCTGTTCCACATTTAATGACCCAGTGGCTATCCATCCAGCTCCTTTCATCCAGTTCAAATCTGCTCTGTATCGGTTCTGACAAAGAAAAGAAAATGTCCTATTGTTGGTGTTCATACACTTAAAATGCCATTAAAGGATTCAGACATCTCTGGAACAACAATGAAGTCAAATTAGTGCCTGCTTTTGTTTTATTGCATAGTTGCAAGGAAAGCAAAAAAAAGAAAAAACCAGAATTAAATAGAAGTATAAGGACTCATTGTGCACTATGCCTTTCAAGGTAATTTTTAAAAGGGGTTTACACCTTACTGTTGTTTACAATTTTTACTCTAACTTCAGTTTTATTGTATATGGAGCACTTTTTAAAAGATCATCCATGACTTGCAATAGAAAGAAAATTACACTAAGCATTTCCCAAAGCATACCCTTTTGTTTTACTAAAGAGAAAGCATTTTGGTTTATTTGTTTTTCCATGTTTCTTTAAGGAAGAAGAGTACAGGAGCACTTCTCACTTTCCTCACAAAATCTCTGCTACCAACAGTACTGCATTTCAAATGCTTGGCTGTAAATCAGGTTTCTCAAAGGTGTCACAAAGGTTTCAGCAGCCATATCTCAACAAGGCCTGTATACATTTCTATCTCAGTCTCCTTGAAAAGTTGTGACTTACAGAATGAAAAGTTTAGCTTAACTGTTTACAGTATCAGACAGTTCATCTGATGGTTACATGTGGTGTCCATATGGAATTTTATCACCAATTTTATCACCATACATTATTTAGCCTCCCTGCACATTAGGAAACAAAAATAAATGTACATCATATAGGAATCCTAGTGTTTTATTAGCATTTGAAGGAAGCTTTGAAGAAGCCATGCTCATAAACAGAATTATAACCCTCCTGAGAAGCACTGCACAACTTAAATATACCTCTTGAGGAAATAAGTGGTTAACAGTTACTGTTAATATCCACTATTTAATAGCTGAAAAATTAGATGCATAAAGATGTCGTGGCATTACAAGCATAAATGCCCGAGTAAAGTCAGCCCTAAGTGGGCTGAGAGCAGGCAGGATGAGAGGGAACAGGAGAAGCTCTGGACTTACATCACTTTGCAGCCCGTAGGCCCACTTGGCCCATGCCACTTTCCTGTCAGTAGGCAGGGCTGTGTACTGATGGAGAGAGGTCTTGTATCCTATATCTGTGGCCAGATTCTGAGCCTTTTTGGCATGAACAAGGTTAACCATATCCATGGGGATCTGGAACTGACTCTTTGTGCCCTCAAAGGCCCTCTTGTACTCCAGATCACTCTGCAACTTTGACATCTGCAGGGAATGAGCCATCTGTGAATCTTCCTCCACAGCTTTTACTCCAATGAGCTTACCCTTCATCTTCTCATAACCTTCCTTATATTTAACCTGTGAAGAAGAAAAGAGACCAAGAGTAAATGCTTTCAGCTGCCAAACTGACAGCTCTACTGTGGTCTGTCAGTGGTGTGGCATGCTAGGTCCTCAATACAAGCAAGAAAGAAGATAATTTGCAAAATATAACTGGAATGTCTTAGAAATTAGTGTCTATAAAGAATAAGCCCTTTCATGATGATAATAATATGTTCACAAAAACCTGTAACAAATATTTTATTTTTGGTTCTCTCTAGGACAAGCAACATTCTTCATGCACAGAGGTCAGAAGGTTCTTTCAGGAATTTTCTGGCCAGGAAGAGATGTATTATGGTGCTTCACAGGAGATTTCCACTTCATTTTGAGTTCTAAAATTCACCCTCGGGTCAAATTGAGAATAGGAATACACAGTCAGCATGTGGGGAAAAGCTCTGAATTGCTCAGAGCAAACCTTCTGACTAATTACAGAATGCCAATCACCCAGACAACTCCTCCATCGCTCCTTAGCATGAATGAGTGAGGGTGGCTCAGGGCACTGAGACATATGTGACACATCCTTAACACTAGCAGCAACCTGGATTGTCAGCTGTCCTAAGAAAAAGGAGGCTGATAGAGACCATACTCACATCACTTGCCAGATCCCTCTTTGCCTTAGCTGTCAAGAATGACAAAGCATCCAAACGAAGCACAAATCCTTTCTCCTTCTGCTTCTCCCAGCTACTCCTGTAGAGTTTCTAAAGAGATGACAACAGCACAGTTTCTTTATTACTATCAATCCTTTCTATTTGTTCTACAGTCACAGTGAAAGCTCTCAAAGTAATTAGTCCCTCCTGCACTCCATGCCCAGAGACTGTATGGCTACAGATCAGATCCTGGTGTCTTCCCTTACATCCTGTATCTGTGGATACTGTGGTTACTGCAACCCCAACATCCCAGTGGTTCCAGTGAATCTGGCAGTGTGCCACTTGCCTGGAAGCATGTGAAAAGTGCACAGCTTCAAGCTCTAGAAGTGGCAAGTCTTCAGAACAGCAGATGTGACTACTATTTATTAGATGCATGGAATTAAATTTTGAGGTTTTATATCAAAAACATGAGGATCTTCTCTGAGAAAAAACATAACTTTTACCTAGAGAACAATTCTTTCACTGCAGCTGTAACTATTCACAGGAGTGAGGGAATCACACAGTACCTCACTGATATTGGCAGCATTTGCTTTGGCCAGCATGAAGACAGGGTCATCTTTGCTGATGGTGTACTGATGAAGAAACTGCTCTTTCCCTGACCTGTAGGCAACCTGTCCACAGGAAGCAAAGCAGGGTCAACAAGCAGTAGTCCACATTTAATGTTGAAGGAATACTGGCTAAAATACCCCAAATATTCAAGGATTTGTAAGGGTTAACTCATTCTTTAGCATCTTTAATTTTTGTGTTAAATATGGAGTGAAAAACTGACCTACAGACTCAGGTTGACCAAAGTACTCATGGTTCAATTTCAAGGAAGCTGTGAAGCAGCACATATATCAGGATACTTTAATTTTATTTCCCAAAGTTATCTACTTTTCTATCTATAAAGCTGGCAGCAATTCATACTCTATACAAAATGCAAGAATATATTTCAACCAATGTTAAACTGCAGTTACTTCTTGGGTAGAATGAAAGTCTTTAATAGGACATAGAAACAGAGAATTCTAGGCATGAAATGAAGAATAGTAGCAATTGAATCTGCAGAGAACATTTGTGACCTAAATGTAATTGCTGACACAATGCTCCAGTGAGGACTAACATTACAACTTTGAATGAAAACATCAAGGACCTTTTATGATCTGAGTAGAAATCATCCTCATTTTATATCCCAGAGCTACAACAGCAGAGAAATGAACTGCTCTGTTTTAGCCCAAGAAATTCTTGGAGGAGCTGTTGAAAAACTATGAAAATATGCCCCATTCACAAAGTATTACATTTCTTACACCCCACAGAAGAAGTCCCTACTATAAAGCTTGGAATCTATGATTACTATTCTGTTTCTAGCACACACAGAAAGGCAGCTTGTCCAGCACACAAGAGATTCCCAATAGTGCTTGATTTTTGTTGCTGTTGTTCTAGTTCAAAGTATTCAAGGAGAGAATTAATCCAATAAACAAATAAAACCCCTTGGAATTAATCTGAAGAAACTTTATATATTGAAATGCTTCATGACTGTGTAGATATATCAGCAGTGACCACATTATCCCTAAGCTGCTTGCAAAGTGACAAATTCAGTCAAGGACTCACATCACTTTGAAGTTCCTGGCTTTTCTTGGCGTGCTTGATCTGAGAACTGTCAGCCACACTGGTGAACTTCAGAGCGTCAGCCTTCTGCCTGTACTTTTTCTACAGCAAATTAAAACAAGTTACACAAAATTTTTCTGCAGTACTTGTCCCCCCCTAAAAATGTATCACTTTTAAAAAATACATGAGTGATAGAGCCAGAAGTGCCCTGTAAATTTCCAAGACAGTTTTAGCACAGGTATCAACAAGACAAACTTCCAAGTGTGGTATTTTGAGGTGGGGAGGGCAGTGCACAAGTGTGTCCCAAATGCACTGTTGCTGACACTGTGGGCATGGATACCTTTGGTGCCAGGTGTGCTGTCTACATACCTTACAGGACCTAGGTTGCACACGAACCAGTGAGTGGTGCTCACAACCCAGGTATGACTTCAGTCAGGACCCAAGAGAGCTGATAAGCCACACAGTTATTGTTACTGTCTCATTTCCTTATAAGAGACTTCTCAAGCACATGCATGGGTGGTTCAAATCACTGAACATTTGTTACTGAGATATTTTTAAATTATTAAGATGATGCTTAAATTTGAGCAAGCTATTTCAGAGTCCTGAAAGTTACTTGAATTCAAAATCTTCCCCATCCTCTCAAAATCTTCTTTTCAAAGAAGAGCTAGGCATAGACATTGCTGTCAAGCCTCCACAGGCTCAAGTCTCAGTTATGGGAAAAAATATTGTTCTTTATTCATCCTCTGGTGCCAGTACTTGTATAAAATCCATTTGAATGGACGAATGTGAATAGAGACTAATATTTTCAGTTTGGTACATAAGACCATGCATAGTTTCGTTCCATTTTAAATTCTGTTTTACACCTGAAACACACTGAAGTGAATGGAATACTTTAATTGACTTTATAAGGCTTTAGCCTGTTTTAAATTAATGTCTTTGCCTCGATATTTTGCGGCACTCATTTGAGAGCAAGCTAAGCACCCTTTCTTTCTTTGAGATAGTACAAGGAAATGCAGGACTCTGTTTCAAGACCACAGTATGACAGGGGAGACCAAGCAAACTCTTGTGCACTTTAATTGAATTCTTATTCTACCAGTTCAGTCATGAAGTGGGCCATTCCACCTAGAAAGAGTGTAAATGCATTTTTTTTTCATTATCTGGCATTTCAGGAGAGAAATTCTTCTGTTTGAACTGATGGGTGAACAGATCAGTTTACACTGTGTCTCTGCTAGGGGAACACAAAATAGAAGTTAAAAAAGCATGCAGCACTTCAAAGAGGTGCTCATCGCTTTACTTTAGAAAGCTGGAAGGGAGGGCGGCAGATTAAAAACAGCATGTTTTGTCACCTTGCATGGAACACAATGTAGTGACACCCTGCAAAGAAATGACAAAACACCAGGCTTTGTATGGCAATAGAGATCTCTAAAATAATATCCACCAGTCTCCAGTTTAGGTGACTGTCAGCCGTCTCGTGGCCTTGCACAGCACTGGAATGAAAAGGCAGATCATTATGGATTAAATATTTGTGGAAGTGATTATTACTACAGCACACCCCAGAAGCAGATGTCAGTAGCAAGACACCAGATCTGAGGTAGCTGCTCTTCTTTTGTTTCTAAGATGTATTTTTTCCCCTCATAGGAGTAGTGAGAGGGTGTCAGAGACCCAAGGTGTCAGAGAGTGTGATCGCCAGTAACTAACTGGCTTCTGTTCCTCCTTCCAGAACTAAGTGGGATTTTATGCCTCTTGTCAAAATTCCCCTAATTTATTCTTCTCTCTGTTCCCTAGTTTTCCTAGCACTAGTGAGACTGCTCAACCATAGCTAAGAAGCTGAAGAAGTTTACTTCCATAAGGTTAATGGCAGTGCAAAGCCATGAATTAATAAGGCGAAAGCAATGAAAAGCAGGAAAAGCTGAAGCTGCCAGTAAAACCAAGCCTCTACTTGCCACGGAGCAAGGAAATTTTCAACTAAAATAATATCTAATTTTTCAATACTGCTCCTTAAAGCTTATTTGTACTACATGCAGCACATGAAACTCAATGGAAATTCAATGCTGATCTGCAAAATGGACAGGAGAATGAAAAGACGTGGAAGCACAAATACAGGGATTTCTACCTCACAGATTATTCTGATAATTATATAAATGAAAAACGTAATTTTAATCTCTAAACCAGGATCTTCTAAACTATAGAATAACTAAATTATGCCCATCAGTTTTTCCATTTCTAGATATTCCTTGTTAGGAATCCCTTACCTATTCCACATAATGTAATGGAATGAACCTTTGAACAAAAAACAGACAGAAGCCTGAGAACTTTGCTTACCTCACTGACTAAATCTCCTGCCTTTTTGGCTTGTTGTATATTAAGGCTTCCTTCTGTGATACATCCAGCTCCTTTCATCCATGTCAGATCTGCTCTATATTGGAGCTGCAGAGGAAAATGACATTTACTGGCACAGGGAACACGAGTATAATGTTTTTAAGTAAACATGTGCACCCATTCCACTTTCAAAGCCATTGCAAAGACATTTAAAAAGCCATAGTACAATCAGACAGCATTCATAATGAACAAGAATTAACATCAAATGGAAAAAGTTATAATCTCTCACACTGTTTTTAACAGTTAAGCTGGGTGTACATTATCTTACATCACTCTGGAGATCATAGGCCTTCTTTGCCCACTTGGTTTTCATATCTTCTGGAAGCACTGTGTACTCATGGAGCCTCGTTCTGTAATCCAAGTCACTGGCCAGTGCCTGAGCCTTCTTGGCATGCCTCAGGTTTATCATATCCATGGGCAGATGGAAATGGGCCTTGCTCTCCTCAAAACCTTTTTTGTAGGCAATCTAGACATAGGAATGAAAATAGACTTTCTGTATCAGATATTACAATGCCATCTTAAGTCACCCCTCTTGTTTGGGTCCTTATGCTGATTAGGCAAAAAATCCCCCAAAACTGTAGAAATCACATCCTAGAAGTGACAAAACAGATGCCAGGGTAAATTTTCTAGATTCTAGAGACATTATTTCTATTACAGTAAATATTACTTTTAAACATACCCTTAAAGACTTGAAAGTTCTGTGTAGAAGTGCCTATATTGAGGTTTGAATATGATATTTTATTCATATTGAGATTTTAACTGGGTGTTATTTTCCTGCCCCGAAATAAGGGCACCATTTCCCAAAATCCCCTGCTGTGCAATCATTGGAGATTAACAGATGGTGAAGGAAACCAATTTTTTTAAATGCTTCCAAGAATTTGTTAGAGTGAGAGCAGTAACAGTGGTAGATTGCATAGTGTTGGTGAAAGTTTCCTAATTATGAAAAATTTTACCTTTTGAGTAAGAGAAATAATTTACCTCACTACTCATCTTGGCCACCTTCAGAGAGTGCAAAAGTCTTGAATCCTTGGTTTCAGTTGCTTTTCCTTTTGTTTTTTCATATTCTTCTTTATATTTAATCTGTCAAAAAACCAGTGTAAATTTAAGAATGTTTCCAATTACCCATGAAATACAGTACATTTTTCACTGGTGATTTGGATGGTCAAAATTTAGAAGAGCTTAGTCTGATTCTGTCATTGTCACTTCAAATTTCCCATATTTGCTCAGAAATTCCAAAGATGCAAGATCAGTCTCATTTATGAGACTTCTTTAAGGCTCAGCCCTCTGAGGTATATATGCTTATAAACTTAAATTCTTCTGATTAGCTAAATTATCTTGCTCTTTGAGGCAAAGATAAAAAATCAATATCAATCCAAGCAAGGAATTTGAGATTTGATTTTTTTTAATGAGGTGGGAGTTTAGAATCCCCACCACTGCTGAACACTTTCCAGCTGCAGAAGAAGTATCTGCGTTTTCTGCCTCTCCATGGGTTACAAATCTTGATATAATTTGTTTAGAAAGATTTTGTTTGGATTTTTTTATATACATTTATATACGTTTATATTAAGGAAGCAGACTAAAGAAATATGCATTCCCTTTGTAGTAGAAGATAATACTGTTTTTGAGGCTATAAAAAATTCAAACCACTGAATTTCACTATGGATTTATTATGTAAATTTTGCTTCACTTTGTACACATGATTTAAAAAAAATAATTTTTGGAGAGTAAAATTTCATAGCAGAATCTGAGAAAGTTTCCAGTGCTCATTAGCCATTGAGAAAGATGGACAGCCAAATGCAGGATTCAAAAATCCAGAAGAGGTGAGCTGTGCTTGATTTCCCTGTGCTATTGCTACTTATATAAAGAATAATTCCCAGGTAACTCAATGTAACATACATCACTGGCGAGATCCCTGGAAGCTTTGGCAGCAAGTAAAGGCAGAGAATCAAGTTTTATTTCAAAGCCCCGGCCCTTGCTCCTCTCCCAGCCTTCTTTGTACTTAACCTGAGGAAGGAAAGACAGCAGCATGTGACTAACACAAACACACAGGACTTTCAAACAAACGTGGAAATTACTCAGAGAAAAACAGAAGCATAAATATGCTCAGTCCACAAACTGGGACCTTCTTAAGTCACAGTTCATTGTCATTTTGAGCTAATTAATTGTCTAGGATTGAGTCAAAATTTTATTCTTGGAGATCACAGGCACTTAATGCTCCAGAACATCCTGCAATAATTCTCAGTTTCAGACAGATATGGAGGAAGGAGGGTTTTCAAAATTGCCTCTGGTTATGTCTACCTATGAAAATAGTATAGATCTATAGGAGCTGATCTAGAGGCAGGACAGCTAAGAACCAGACAACGTTCCACTCATTTCAGGGTTTTTCTTTCCCACCCCCAAAATGTAACTAGCCAATGCACTGAATTTGAAGTTCTTTGCATGAGCTGCTGGAGCACGTTCAAAAGGAATCCAGCTCTGAGACCAGCCCAGAGGCTGAAGCAGAGGCCAGAGCAGCATCCCTCACGATCAGATTGTCCTCAAAGCACACTCATGAGCCTCACTACCTCACAAACACCACTGAAATGCATGAGCATCACACACTTAACTTCTGAAAGTCAGTGGAACTTCAAGGAATAGCTTTTTAAGCTCTTTTTCAAGACTCCACTTGAAATTCCATTAAAGCAAGATTAAGCATGCCTTCATCCATATAATGCATGCACCTAATGAAGGTAGAAGGTTTTCAGGAAGCCCCAGTTTCTGGACTTGTCTTTCTGCATGTTTATATTTTACCAATATCTAACAATGGGCATGCATCCCAACACAGTACAGTCGCAAAGAATGTTCCTCCGCAACACTCTGCCAATGCAACTCAAATAAAACTTAGGGGAAGAGCACAAGACACAAAAACCTACAGTAATGACAATTCAAAGTCATGAAAAATTATGAAACTTAAAAAATAAAGCTTAAAAAATAAAAGTCACACCACTAATATCTGGAGGTTTTTTCCTCATTTTGCCCTTATTTGTCTTGGGCCTTTTTTCCTCCAAAACTTTCTACGAAAATGGAGGCCTGAAAAATACGCTAAAAATTAAATATAAATTCAACTTTTCCTGCAAGCACGTGGTTTTAGCCCACAAGACTCTAAGTGAATCACTATTTATTGCCAGGAATTATGAATGGAACAACAGTGGGCATGATCCAAGTTGGCTGAAGTCACTGTTTCATTCCATTGACTTCAGTGCACTTTGAATTACTAGAACTGTGCAAATGTTGGCTCTTCATAAAAATTTCACCTCAGAAGCAGTTAGTTTTGTGAAGTGAATATTGATTTAAAGAAATTCAGATCATCTCAAAATATCTTGGGAAAAAAGTCTAGATGTTTCATTGTCCTTGAAATTGGATCTCTGTCTATTCTGGGCACAATATTTCATGTTGTTTAGTACAAAACCAAATGATAAATGATAAATGCTTCCAGAAAGAGTGTCAACATCTTAATATTAATTTCAGTCTATTAACAGCATCATGAATGCCAGTATTTCCCCAAGGCTTGGCTTACCTCACTGTATAACTCAGCATTGGCTTTTGCTTTCACTAACAGTGGTACATCCTGAGGTAGAGTATAATTTGTTTTTGTCTTCTCATACTGGGCTCGGTAGTTCAACTGCATATGTTGAAAAGGTCAGCAAGAAACTCAGTTATTTTTAACTTAATAAAAATATATCCATTAGACTGAATGATTGCTGTTAAATTTCAGGTTATTGGTGCCATAAATTGCAAATATGCTCATAGGAATTTATGATGTAAGCATGAAGGCTATAAGGCTAACTTTTACTTAAGAAGTAGGAAGTAGAAATTTACTATATGAATAAAAGTTACTGATTATCTTTAAGTACAAAAGATATAATTAAAAACCTTGCCTTAATAAAGACACAGAAAATTATTTCCTAAAAAAGCACACTGATACAAATCTTAAAAGTGGAGACAAATATTGGATCTACTGGTATGCTTGCCACATTTTGGAAAGTGATTTCATTCGATATGTATTCTTGGTTTGGCTATGAATCTGCTGAAGAACTGTCAAGAATAAAACACATAAGGCTACAAATGCTATGAAATTAGATTATTTCATCATTATAATAAACAACAATGGTTAAAGATGGGACAACTTACATCACTGAGCTGCTGTGCATTTATTTTGGCTTGAGCAATTTGTGGAGTACTGGCCACAGAGCTGTACTTCAGCTTGTCTATGCTTTGTCTGTAGTTTACCTAATTTAAAATTAAATTAAAAAAAAAAGATTTAACAAAGGAAGAAATGGTCAGATCAAAAAATGAGAGATTGAATAAATGAAGTTTTGCTAACTAATACTCTGGATAAAATGTTACTAAATCCATAAATAGAGCTGAGGAAAAATGGCATGATCTCTTGGATGAGATCTGAGTTAGTGCTCTGAAAGTTTCCTTGTCTGAGGTCACAGTTTTTATCCCACTCTGAAAATTACTTCACTTATAATTCCATCCTGTCAAGCCCACAAATTCTTACAAAGATGCAGCCATTGCTATAAAATCCCCCAAATCACTGCTATAAAATCCCCCAAATTATTAATAAAAATAATTTTTAACCATCACTTAGTCCATTTTTATCTTTATCAGACAAGAATTATTGTAACTGCCTATGAAGTGGTCTGTCCAGTGTACCACCATTGGATAGAGTAAATGAACTCTCTTATACTTGGTCTTTACTGAGTTTTAATGTAATAAATTAACCACAAAATTTACCTGTGGTGAGAGCTTTGTGTGGATGCTGAGAAAAGAAAAATATGTACTTATAGTACAAAAAAGTCATTTTAATGTCAGCCATCAAGAGGTCTGGAGCCCACTAGATTATTACTAGTTACAAAATAAATATTTTAAAGCCCCAAATTAAGCATGATAAAAAAATCATATGACACTTCCTTTCAAACCTGTTGCTGCAAAAGAGCTCATTGATATACCATAAAACACAATTATTATTCTCTGTAGGCCCTCATTAATATTCACTGTAGTTAATCACCACTTTGCAAACATTTCAAATCACATTGTTTAAAACTAGTTTCTTAAGAACACTTCTTCCCAGTAAAGTGGAGCATATTTCTGGAGACTTTGAGTTACTGAAACGATTTCAATGCAAACCTCCTTATCTCCCGTATCCTCACATAAATTTCCTCATTCTGCCAGAATGATAAAAGCTAGGAAAAAAGGCCTGAATTATCTCACAGGTCCAAAGTGATTCAGGTACTTAAAACAATGCATTTGCTTTCTCAGAGACGAGAGAATTTTAATTCCATGGAAAGGGGTCATTTCTTTTTAACTGAAGCTGTGTATTTATTGCTACTTGTGATTGCTTAGTGTATGAGAGAGGTGTATTCCTAAAAGAGTTCAGGGTAAGCATGTTGGTTATTTGGGAGCACACAGGTCCTGGGACTAATGCAAAATCCTAGATCAGGACTGGTGCAACTGAGTCTCTGTGGCCACTGGAATGATGTGTTTCAAACCCTGATGCTGACTATCAATTGGAATTGCTGAAATGTCTTTTACATTTTGGACATAAATTTATGCTTACCTTGAACTCTTTAAGAACACAGTAAGCAATCAAAAACTGAATTTTACTGTTTTCAGCTTTTACAAAGGCAAAGCTGAAATTACTGCTGTAGAGGCAAGAGTTCATCTTAGAGTTGAAGTATACCAAATACTTCCTCAAAAACACCAGGGTTCCCAATTCCAGATCTTCATGTGCCATCCTTGTCTTGGAAGAGGTGGTTGGGCCCAGAAAAATCTCACATAATGTTAATGACCTTTCTAAGGCATAATGCTCCTGGATTTTTGCCATTTCAGTGTAGAGACAGGGTGTACATACTTTAGGAAGTCAGAAATGCCCTGCAGAGCTGCTGCTCTCTTCCTGTTGATTTTCTAAGCAGTGCCTGGTGAATGTGCTCCTGTCTAAGGCACAGGGTGAGCTGCCAGTGGTAGAGGAGATGAGTGAAGCTTTTAATGCTTGTGAGAAGTGAAAGGATCATACTGCACTTGCCACGAGTCAGGGCACAGGGGGCTCCTCTCTCAGGGACCAGAGCTGCAGGAGGTGACGCGACCAACCCGCTCCCCTCCAGAGGGAACATCAATCCCCAGGGAATTCACAGAGGATTCCCAAAGGCTCTTTTAGTCTCCCTGTGCTTTCAGTGCTTGATGCTGCTGCTGAAGCTGCCCCAGGATGGTGAGACTTTAGCAGCACAGAGCTGGGATAGGGCAGAGTCATGATTTCACTTGGCCCTACAGTCTGTGCTGAGCTGACACAACAACAGGACATGGCAGCACCTTCTACTGCTCTGAGACCTCTTGACACTGCACTTTTTTGCTTTAGCTTCATTAGCAGTGGCTGCTTGTTCCTGTCATTAAATCATCATTTGACACACACAGTCTATCACAATCTCTCCTACAGAGAGATGATAAGCTATGCAAGTCATAGGGGGAAAAAAAAAACAAAAACAAAAACATAAAATTATTATTTACATCTTTCAAAGGGACCAACTTTCTTGTTGTCTGGTATGAAGGAGTGAGAGTAGCTGGGTAATTGTAGTCAACACCATCATGTTTGTAATCAGACTTATAGGCTATCTGAAACACAAGGAGAACAAAAAAAAAATAATTCTTTTTTTTCCAGCTGTCATTTGTTTGAATAATTATCAGTCAAGAGGAAAGGAGAAACAATAATATTAATATTAAATGCAAGAAACAAAGTAAGTTCAATGTCATGAGTGACAAAGAAAATGAAATTATTTGCATAGTTTAGCCACTAATTGATTCTTTTTCAGCTTCTCAATTAATCCAATGCCAACAGTGGGAGCATTAACTTAACTTCCACCTATGACACATCTCTTTTATCTTTCTGCTTAGTTCTCAAGCTTCTTACAGATTTGTAAATAATGTACTTGAAGGAATGGTATGTAATGAAATAGCTTCTTGACTAACCCAGTAAATTAAATTGCAATCCAGCAATCTTCATTAAAGACTGTTTTTTCCAGCAAAGGTCTGACCCTGGGGGTGGTGGCAAACAACCTTCAGCATCCTACTGATGTCAAAGAAAACTGAAGGATCTCAGTGTGTTGCCAGATCACTGAAATTTCTTATTTTAACTTCTTCCACACAGTGAGCCATAAAACAGTACAAAAGGGTTTCCAAAATTTCCCCTCTTCTCAACATATCTATCCGTCAGATCCCCAGTACAGTATGATCTAAAGTTTTCTATCAACTTAATTCTGGAAAAACTGAAAGACATGGAGGCCACAAGCATGAAGTGTGATTAAAAGGGACTCACAGTGCTTGCCAAGCTGCCAACTTTCATGGCATGGAGCATCCTCTTGTCCATGCCAATACCCACATAGTGACCTTTCATTTCATTCTGGTAGGTTTCTTTGTATTTAAGCTGTACAAAAAACAAACAAACAAACAAACAAACAAACAAAAAAACCCAACTCTGAGAATATAATTCAGCTTTTCTACTGATGAGTTTCAGCTTTTAAGAGTTTCTATATTTTAAGCGGGGAGACAAATTGTTACAGCTCTGGTCTACAAGTGCTGCTCCAATACAGCAATTCATTAGTCTACAACAGCCTTGGTATTTTAAAAAATAAAAGCTAAAACCCTCAGTGAGTTTCTTTTACTACAAGATATAATTTACTTGCTCTTCATATCACCTAATGCCACATAAAGAAGATACAGATGTGTTTCATCAGAAATAAATACTAGAACAAAGTCCCAAGGAGACAATATTTGTACATTAAGAAATTAACAAAATTGACTTGTTTTGGTGCATCTTTCACAAATCCCAGAGTCGGGGATTTGACAAGAAAAATTGATCATTCAACCATCTGAACTGTATGGCAAAATATTTACTCCCCTGGGATTTCAGAGAATGGTAAGAAGCAGTATGAAACAAAATTGTTTCATGAGAAACAAGAGGTTTAACTATTAACACTGATTATTTTCACACAGTAATTATGCTCCTCTCTGGCATGAACTCTGGTGAAGCATCTTCTGCCTACCTGTCCAGTCAGGAAATAGACATGCATAATGAAATAAGTAATTATGACAGTCAAGAGTAACAACAAACTTCTACTTCTCTAGATCAGCAGTACATGGCAATTGACCTTTCTTCTAAATACCATAATAGTTCTTTCCATAATCCTAAATAAAATAAATGTCCCAGCTATACATCAGGACACATTAGGATAAGTGCTGTACAAAAACAGGCTAAAATGAGTTATAATCACATTTCCAGCACACATTTATATGAAACACACACTCACAGATGACCTGTGATTCCAGCAGCTATCAGGGCAAGCAAGCCACACACGAGGTACTGCAAACTTACATCACTGGTGAATTTTGAGATCTTGCTCATATTCTTGAATTGTGGAGTGTCACAGTAGTTCATGCTGTAGTCTTTGTTGTTTCCAAGATCCTTCTTGTACTCCACCTTAGTGACAAAAATGCACAACAGGAAGCTGTGGTAAAACCTTAATCTGCTCTAGCAAGTTCCTTCACACACCATTTATTAGGCAGACCCACTGTTCAGAGATTTTGACACATGGTATTAATCAGATGGCATATGATGAAAATTAATATGAAGAGAATACTCATATACTCAGTTCTCATTTTATAGGCAAAAGAAATGCAATTTCATCCTCTGCAAAGTATACAAGACAGTTACAGGAGGAAAACTATTAACAAAAACTATGGTATACAAAGAAATTCTAAGGTGAGTTTGGAGCAAATGAGCATGTACAAATGTGCCATGTACCAAATTCCAGCAAGACCTCAGCAAGAGCTTTTGTACTCTTACAGTCATTCCTGTTTAAGGAACTCAGCCTGTAACAGCTGCAGTGAAAGACTGAGAGATGAGAAGAACTCAGCTTGCTTAGTTGAGGAAATCAAAGGCAGAGAGAAGAAAATGATATATTTGTAAACCTCTCAGAAAAGAAACCATGCAGGGAGAAGAACTTTTTAAACTAAAGGGCAATGCTAGCACAAAACACAGTGGTAATAAAGTGGACAGGAATAAATGTAGGCTAGAAATTGGAATAGGAGGATTATACAGTGCTGTATCGAAGCAGCAGGAACCAGGAATCATTGGCCCAGGAGGCCCCTTCCAGCCCTACTTGCAGGGGTTTTTCATTATTGAAGGTTTTATACTTTGACATCTCAAGAGTATAAGTTTATAAAGTGCCATGGGGAAGTTCTAGAAACTCACATTTATTAATAGTTTTATAGCTGATATGACATTATAAATAAATTAATAATTCAGAATCTACTGAGAATTCTCTTGCAATCTTCCCTTATCAAGCAGAAAAAGAATCAATTATCAGTGACTCACAGTCTTTTACAGTATGGAAGAAAAAAGAAATCTGCATAACCAGAATGGTATAAATTTTGTCTCTTTTCTTATTTTTTGATTATTAGAATACCCTTTGAGACACTCTAAGGCACACACCAAACTGGTCCTAAAGCATTATATCTTAATATCATATTAAAAGCACAGTTCAGGTTTGGGGTGGGGTTTTTATCAGATTTCAATTCTTCATGTGGTCAGAACTAGAATTGCTCTCTGGGGTTAATTTCCCACACTTTCACACAGATGATTGGAAGGGCCACAGTGCAGCACCTAAAGATCTGCTCTTGAGCTTTTCTCTCCAGTTGCTGTCCTACACACCAGACGACTTTTGTTATGTACAATGCAGTAAGAACAACAGCTTTTTTATTTACTTGCAGTCCTTACTCATCAAACACAAATATTTGTATGAGCTGCTCCCAAACTTGTTAAGAGATCGATTCAAGCCCTTACCTCACTGACAAGCTTGTTAACACTTTGGGCTTGTTTAAGGACCAAGTTGTCTTCAGCTGTTAGGGAGTGAAAGTGAGCTGCACCTTTCATCTTGGAAAGATCTTTCTTGTATTTTATCTGAAAAGAAGTAGGGAGAATTATAAAATAGATGTGCACCTTTTCATCTTTACTATTTAGACTGGCTTCATGAGTCAGGATAATATCTTTCCCTGTGCTTGCTTTGATAAGTAGGTGGAACTTGCCAAGCTGAAACACAGTATTTACTACCTTGAATAACCCAAATATAACCCCTTAGCCCCTCACAGACCCTCTCAAGACATTTTACATAGCATTTAGATAGCATTTTTAATAAATTTTTCACATAGACTGAACAGCACTGGTTTTTGTTCATGGCTTGAAGAGATTGCTAGCAGATTCCTGGCTGGAGCTTGTGTGCTCTTCTATTAATGAAGTTAATCCTTGGTACTTAATTTTAGTCAGAGGATTACAGATAGTCATCAAGCACTCTGCAAACTTTTCCTTTTGTAGAAACCAGCTTTTTAAAAAGCTGTATGTTTTCATACTTTTAGTGTGTTTAAGTGAATTATATTTCTCAATAAAATCAAGATTTAAATAAGGGATTTCTAAATTAAATTTAACCATCAGGTTTTTGACATAAATTGGACTTGGATGGTGAAGAGAGGTAATACTTGGCCTTTTATAAACTATTTTATATGAACTGAAATGCAAAGTGGTTTGGGTTTTTTATTTTCCAAGACTGCACACATTTCTTCAGGCTTCAAAACTATAAGGAAAGTTTGTAAGTACTGTAGTGTCCAAATGTTACTTCCATGAACCAATCCTCCTTTTCCCTCTATGTATTATAAATTAATGAGGAAACTACTGACCACTGGCATTTTCAAAACCTATTGAACTGTGATCTTTGTGTGGAAAGGTTAAATATTTCATATTTAAACAGGGGATCACTGAGTTTGTCATTAAACTGGGATTGGTCACAGAGGATTTGAGGTGTTTTATATTCTCTCAGTGATAGGCTCAGGTAACAGAACATGACTGATCCTTTCACTCCAGTTTATTGCTCGTGTCTAGTCCAGACTAATACAAGCTGAAAGTCTCCACCATCTGTTATCTCCCCAGAAGTCAGACTGAGCTCATCAGCTCAGGCAGCCCTACTGGGGACAGGTGTCCACCCTACAAAGGTTGTCACTCACAGGAGCCCTCAGAGCAGCCACAGGGTACTGATCTACACACTGACCCATTTTTGTCACTGCCTGAAATGGTCTCCCCAAACAGGGCTCAGGCCCTCTCATGGATGGGCTGGATGCAGGAATCACACACCACCACCTTTGCCAATTCTTTAGTTTACCACCCAAAATCAAAAATCACATCCCAGAAATAAGCTCACTTTTGTGAAGTGACAGTGTCAGACTCTCTGCTTCTTTCCCTCCATATGACTTGCTTTGTGCTAGGGGCATGATACATCAAAATATCAAAACCAGTACAGTTCATTCATCCTCCATTTATTCACTACTGGGAATACCACAGTAGTCCACAGGATGATTAAGGCAGTTGAAGGTTTCATTAATAATACAGGTGCAGATTTGCCAGGAGGGTTAACCTAACAGTAGGGATCCCCATTAGTTGCTACATCCATCTCCTCCTTCGTGCAAGCTGGAGCTGTGCTCCCTTCTATTAATGGATATTATTAATCCCCTGAGCTATCCAGTTCCCAGCAATGCAGCAAAATGTCACTTTTGTTTACTTCTCAAGTGCAGTTTTAGCATCCTCCTCCCAGGCACTGCTCTGACAAACTGCTGGTTTTAATTGTTTATGAATTGTATTGATTCAGGTTTCATACTTACATCACTTGCCAATTCATTTGCTTTCTTGGCATTTTGATAAGCTGGAGTGATCATAGCAGGAAAGCTTCCTTTCCCTCTGCGCTCCTCAAACTCATCCATATATCCCTGAAGAAAATTCAGACTGTTTACTCATCATACATGAGCAGGTGGGGCCATGAGTTATTTTACAAAGCCCCACAGTCCTTGTTAGTAGGAAGGTTCATGGCTTCAATGATTTTTTTTTAATGAAAAAATGACCAACATATAAGAATAAATTTACCTGTTAAATTACTTATGGCTCTGAAGCTACCTGTGCTGCATTCCAAGAGAAATTTAGGTAGCCATTAGCTGTGGTAAAGACAACGTTCAAGTGTACAATGACATAAACCCTTCTGCTCTCACCTCATTTCTCACAGAGATGATATCTGCTTGCTTCTCTGTTTGTCAATATATGTTACCCTGTAATACTATATAAATAGCTAATGGCTTGATTAGCCAGGAGACTGGCTTAAAGTTTACAAGTTTAATACAGGATCAGCCTTCTTTTATAGTGTTACAGGAGCTGTTTAATTTTTCCATGGTCATTTTTCACATAATAATTGACCAAAAATAGTTCACTAGTGCAGTGATGTATTTTGAAGAGGGATGAATAAATGAAGCAGAGATACCTAGATATCAAAATGCCAAACTCCTTAGTGAAAAAATCACAAAATTCCACTTGTCTGATTAAAAAACATCCAATTGCTGTGCAAGTAACACCCTTAAATACATCTATAGATAAGTTTATGTGTAAATATCTGACAATTTGAAAGCCATTTAGATAGTTTAGCAGCAAAATACTGGAGATTTTTTTTTAATGTAATTGACAATAATAATCTCAAAGCCTTCTATGGCAAAAGCTGGGGAGAATATGGAGTACAAACAAGAATACACCAAGTGAGATAAAGAGTAATGTGTCTTCTCTGGAATATTTTGTGAATCTTTTGTAGTAAAGAGGCAGTTTGAGTGAAAATAGAATGTGCCATGAATAGAATGCATGTCAAGAATGCCATGGACAACACAGATAGGAACAGCTACAAATATCTGGGATATCTCTTTTGTGTGTTCTCAGTGCAAAACCATCCATTGTTGGTCCTTTTGGGCACCACCAATGTCACGTTTTAAAATAGGTCACACCACAAGTTTGTGAACATTAGGATGCACACTGGTGAATAATAGTTACAATGGCATTAAATTATTTTATAAACAGGCACAGAAAAGAAAATGCAGTTGAATAATCAGCTGAGTTAATTTCTTAAAATATCATTAATAAGTTTGAATTCTCCAGACCAACCTGTCTTTTGCTTCTAACTTTCTTAAATACATTTTAATATAATTTATTATATTGTGTATATGTTCAAAGTTTCAGAAACTATTTTAGCCACTCTTAAGGTTTTTAAAGATGAACAAAACAGATGTTCAGTACAGGAATTTTATAGTAAGATTCCTTAAATTGTCTCATGTTATATATAAATATGCATGTACATATATATATATCTGTCTGATGCATACTCAATTCATTGTTAATGATCTCAACAGTTAGAAATCTAATCTCTTTACCCATGTTAAGTCACAGTTTACTCAGAAAGATACATTAATTTCAGTGACTCTGTGTTATTTGACTAATAATATCAGTATCCAATCTACAAAGATTAAAACTCAAATCAAATTTGAAGTCCATGACTGAAGTTTCAAAGACACTTTCAAAGAAAGAAAACTTAAATTAATTCTAAAACAGAAGCATTCTAATGCTTAGAAATGTAATTAGTCCTTTCTCAAATTAATTTTATTTGTTTATTCCTATTAAAACTTGTAGCAGTTCAAAAGACAGAAGTAATTGAAGGCTTCATTGCTCCAATTCTAGACTCATACTTTTCAAGGATGGTTTGCTTTCCACAGAATACTAAATGTAGATTTCAAGAGAAGAAGTGAAGAAATGTAAAATACCAAAATTTTTAGGAAAGCAGGGCTGTAGCCCCTATTCCTTCATTTCTCCAAAGTATATGGGCCTACTGAGAAGCAGGACAAAAACCCTTGAGATTAACCATATAGTTTTCTTTATACAGTATCACTACTCAATTCCTTTCAAATTCCATTTAGCTGCATTCAGTTCTATATAGCTGTGCTATTCCCCTAACCTAATTGGAATTTGGTGCATTCTGGGCAACCACAAAACCAATTGTATTCCTTCAAAAATGAAACATAAGTAAAACAAATGCCACTGACCAAAACAGAACTAAAGCCTATCTGGTTCTACAAATACAAAACTACAGTTTGTCAGGTTTATAATTCCCCTTTTATAGATGAGGTGAAATCTAAGAGATTGTGTATCTAAGAGATTCAGTGCTGTTCACACATATTTAGAGCTGCAAAGCTCCCAAGATTTGTGAAAATACCCACAGGAAAAAGGCACCTAACTATCTGCCAGGTTTCTACCATTTCACAACCCTTTAGCTTTTCTCCTGCCTGAATTTACTTATTCATGGAATGGGAATATTTCCTCGGGTAAACACATTTCAGTGTGATATACAACAGCACCAAAATAGAAATTCAGAGTGCGTACGTGCACACAGATAAAATTTGCCAAGGTCAGTGTTTAGGAATGTCCCTACCATGAGGGTCATGCAGTGACAGTGCAGCTACCTTCAGGTGCCAGTGACAGATGCATTACACTTTAGGAGCACAATGCTCTTTGCACACCATCCTTTCCCTTGGGACCTTGTTTTCTCACACAGGACAACAAAGTGAAAATAGGTGTCACCAGTTTCTAAAGCCTTGAGCAATCAGCTGTAGTAATGATCAACACCAGCATGGCTATCTCTCGGATGTTGCATACCTGTCCATATTGATCTGCATTTTCCCTTGCAAGAGCAACATCTGCTCCAGCTGTATGGCTGACTTTTCCCTTGATCTCTTTTTCATATCTTTGATGATACTTCACCTAACAGGAAAAAAAGGAAACAAATAATCCAGTGAATTTAGTCTGGTTCACAGATGCTGCACAATAAATAACAACCGATGGCACGCACATGTTCTCAATAAAGGATTGTCAAAACTCCCATTGCCACCAACCTGCACAAGTCAAATATGCCACTTGAAGATACAAAAATAGAATTATATCTGTACTTAATAATGCACTAGGAATATGGGACTTGCCATTTCAACCCAGCCTGTTGGGTCAATGTGTTCAGCACCACCTGCTTGACAGTGGCTAAACCCTGATGCTCCAACAGTTTAAAAAAATAGAACTGATTGTAATGCAAATTCACAGTTACCACAGAGCACTTTTTTGCCACAACCCAATTGATGATGAATCCCATCAATAAATGAGTTTGTTTCTGAAAGATGCTTTATCCCCAGTGATAAAGGGAATTTTAGGCAATCATCAAGTTTAGACCAAGATTTGCACTACATTTGCTGAAGTCAAGACAATGCCTGTAACCTGATGCTGCCCTTTAATCACCATGTGTGTTTGCTGACAAAAGTGAAGGGTTTTCCAGAGATCAAAGGCAAGTAAAAATATCTAATTGTTTTAGAGTCAGTTGCTTTTACCTTCAGAATTATGGCTCTCTTATTTACCTCAATGATTCTTAACAATGTTTTAAATTCACTTCGAGTTACATGTTCTTCCATATGTTATCTTCTCCAACAAAACGAGCTTTTCTTTCAGTTTCCAATAACAAAGCACAATTAACTGTACATTTTGAAGGAAGACTGATGTCCTTTTATGGTGCTTATTAAAGAGTACAGGGGTGTTGTGGTTTTGTTATGTTTGGAAAGGAAAAGAAAGCCAGTAAAGATCAGTAAGCCATGCTCTTGGAATTTCTGCCAGTAAATGTTTCAATTCAAAATTTGTGTGTCAGTTTAATATTTTCTTTCCCAAAAGAGACTTTTCTTTGGACACTTACATCACTGGCTAATTCATTCGCTCTCTTGGCTATTTGATAAGCTGGAGTGATCATAGCAGGAAAACTGCCTTTTCCCTTCCGTTCTTCAAAGTCTTCTGTGTATTTCAACTGTAAAAGTTCAAGACAGTTCAGGAGCAATTAGAGCAAATGTGCCTTGATTGCACACATAATCAATCCTTAAAGTTGCAAAGTCAGGTGTTGGATGGCTGTCATCTGCCAAAAGGAAGATGAACCATAAAGTCTGAATCTTTGCAATTTGGTCTTTAACTACACAATCACACATCTTCTGCATGGCCCCTTTGTCTTATTCAGGGTGTAGAATGAAAAGAGTTGTTTAAAGAAAATACTTGAAGTGTCTGCAAGATGCCTTCTCTATTTACATTAGTCAGGCAGCTTCTTTCTTTACTTTGCATGGCAGCCAGTTGCTGGGTATGGAACAGACTGGTTCTGCAGCTTCTGTTCTGACAGCCTAAAATGGCCTCAAATTTAATGTGGTCTTTGTAACTGAAAGTATTAAATGCTTCATGGTAAAACAAATCTGCCTTTAAAATATTATTTTTTTTTCTTTGTGTTCATATTTTCAAGTAATTTATAAATACCCTAGGAACCACTTGCAGAGCCAAAAACAGATCAATCTATTTTGTTTCACTTACATCGCTTGCAAGATGTGCTCCAGCCTTTGCGTGAAGTATATCTGGAGTGTCTACAACAGAGGTGAACTTTGAAACTCTCTCTTCATGTCCACGCTTATATTCCACCTGAAGAGGAAAACATATATATCCATATTACAAACAATAAGCAGCAAAAGGGCTTCAAGAGAAAATGAGCAATAGCAGTCATGACATTCTCCAGTCTTCACAATCAAGCTATCCATATATTTAAGCCCCGATTTCCTTAAAGTGATTACCAAAAACAAACAGAAATAGACCCAGATATTCAAATTTTCACTTGATTTATGTGAGCCATACTTTTGATTAAAATACCATGAGAATAGTCATTAATGTCCAAGATCAAACTCCAATGACATTGTGCTTAAATAAATGAAATTTTTTCTGTGCATAAATTTAAAGTAGCTTGTATATGAATTAATTTCAATCTTACAGCTATTTGATTTCAAATGATGAAGTGAAAAGTGTCAAATGTAAATAATTTGATGAATACAGCCATAATGGGAAAGCAAAGGTAATGAATTTTATGAACATTTCAGTGCAAGTCACAATCTTTTTCAGGTTGTGATAAATTATGCAAAAGTTGCTACATTTTCCAGGAAATATCTACATTGTCACTTATTCTATATCATTGTCTTCCCAGGCCAAGCAGTTTATTTGTCAGTTTTCTGCATCATGTTAACATTTTCTCACTTTGTAACAGTATAACAAATATTCACCATAGAATCTAACATCTTAAGTGAATGGCCTGAACCCAGGATTCTCCAAATTCAGAGGTGTAAAATATAATTAAAAACCCTTGTGACTTACATCACTGCTTAGCTGGGTGGCTCTCTTAGCAACCTGATAACCTGGAGTGATCATAGCAGGGAAGCTGCCTTTGCCTCTTCGTGGCTCAAATTCTTCTGTATATTGAAACTAGAAGATGAATTTGTTTAATAGAAAAGCATCCACTGTAGTTTAATATGATTCTCCTTTTCATGCCTGCTTCCTAAAGGCATGTATCGTTTTATTTAAAATAAAACAAATAAAAGAACTTCTACTTTTTTTAGTTACAACTATTTCCTACATACAACAGAAAACATTTCTCATTTGTATCAATTATCCACAGTCAATTGCCTATGTTGATTAGGTCACTAATCCATTGTATAGGCACAGTCATAATTCAGAAGTGCTTTTCATCTGTCTTGAAAATTCAGTCAGTGAAAGTCTGGTCTGTGGAAAATATATTTACTATCATGAGTCCTGGTCTACTGAGAGAAAGAGCACTGCCTGCTAGATCAGATCACCTCAGCTTGGTCAGCAGTTGAAGTGCTTCAGATTTACATAAATATATAAATGTGTGATGGCAATAGAACTCTTATGTGACTTTAATCACTTACATGGCTGAATATTGTTGACATAAATGAACAAAGCCAAACGTCAGTCACTTACATCAGTCAGAGCCTTCTGTGCCTGTGTTATCTTGACCATCTCCGGATCTGGGATTGTTCCTGGGTACCACGATTTTCCTTCCTCGTAGGCAGCATAGTAAGCATTCTACAAAACAGGAACTAAATAAGTACCTATCTTCACCCTGGTTTTAGCACTCAAACAGCTGATTTGACAGGAAAGAAAAAAGGCAACGCACAGTGCTGTGGAAGTGAAATTGCACAGCACAAGGCCTGAGTTCCCCATCCCTTCAGAGTGCCAAGGCAGAACTGGTACAGCAAGAACTGACATCAAGATGACAGGATCTAGGATCCTGGAGTGAAACTCAAATAACACCCCCTGGGAATCAGATCTCCTGCTGTGAAGCTCCAGTGCCAGTAGAGAGAAGACACATAGAGTATGGCTGTACATGCAGCAGTCCCAACAGCTGACTATAGACACACTTTCCTTTCCTCACCTTCTGATTTTTCTATCCTATGCTACAGTTGAGCTATTTTGTCTCAAAAAGTTTAGCCAAATGAGAAGCAAAGGCTTTTTTTTTAAGCATTGAAATGTCGTGGTTAAACCCCTGACAATCAAGATAGACAGGGCAAATCCTTGGTGTCCTGCAGGCTGCTGGCTGGGAGATTTGAGGGATATTTCTTACCTGGGTAGCCAATTGTTGGGCTTTATAGACATTTTCAATTTCTCTGGACCTTGCATCCCACTGAAAGACTGATTTGAATTGTTCACTCTCTTCTCGATATTTTATCTAAAAAGAAAAGACAATGACTCATTTTAGTACTTTGTTAGTGCATACTAACACACACCCCCTTCAGAAAAGAATATAGTTTTAATAATATTTGCATTTAGCCCTAAGGCCAAAACCCTGCTTTCTAGTCCACACCCAACTTTTCCCTAGGATTTCTGCCAGTATAGGAGCAGCACATCTGTAAAGGAGCAACATATTACACCTGAGACCTGGCATGACATTCTGGAAGAATAATTTGATCTTTAGATAATACTTTTGGGGGAAATAATCTATGAGAATTGAAATCCCTAAAAAATTTAAAGCAGGATGTGTCAATGCGTTAGATGAAAGAACTACTAGCAAGTGAGCAATATTCTCTCCTGTTTCCCTGCACAATGTCCACAAAGTGTCATATCCTAACTGTGCATATGTAAATGACTACTATATTTAGTCCTGGGTCATTATGTTCTTACTGCTACTCTTATCATGATAGCATGTAGGAGAAATCCAACTGAAATCACAGACCTCTTATACAACTCACTCTCAGATGTAAAAACTCAGAGTAGAGAATTTAAACTGACAGGACAGAAATGTTACTGAGCACATATACCATTATTCCCATTTATAAATTAAGCACAGAGGTGCAGAAAGCTGAATGATTTGCCTGCTAACACAGAAATTCTGTATAGAGAGATCTAATTTTTATCCCTGCATTCCAGTTGATGTCTCAACATAAGACTTATGTGAGAACATAATGTTGGGATTGAAGAACCGTTCTATTTTCTGCATCAGAGATAAACTTCAATATGAAAACAACAAACTTCCACATCAGCAAATGAAACCTTTTCCCAAGTCATCATTATTTTATACATTTACTAGTGAAACATTTTCCTACTCTCAAATTTTTTACAGAAGTACTCCCTTTAAGCAGGTACTGCAGAATCAGCTTCTTTACTACCCTTAGCAATTTTCTCTCTGGAACAGAACCTCATTATGTGATTGAAAAGGACAGAAGGTGTTTAAGGTGTATAAAACAAGGGAAAGTGATCTTTGAGCTATAATTTCTCTGGCTTGTGTACTCACATGCACTGGAAGTATCAGTCTCATATCACTGCCTAAACCAGAAATAGAACCTGCAGTAATCCCAAACTCATTCCTGAGCAGATCTGTCACACACAGTTTAAAGTAAGTGAGATAGTCATTGCTGAAATAGTTACAGTCCAGGATACTGCAAAAACTGACACATAAGAATGCTGTACAAAATGACAAATGATCGTGTGTGACAAAGGCTATTCATGTGCATCAAGTTTTTACAGCTAATGCAGGACATCAGAATGAATTTAGCAAACCATAATCCAAGAAATACAACTTTCTTTGTTAATTTTAGTGATGGCTAATCACATCAAAACACGTTGCTTTTCCTGTGAAACATATTCACAAGTAATGTTATTTTAGGATATAGGAAGATGTGACATTCAAGAAAACAGCATTACGCAGAGAAGTGAGTTAGCCATCAATTATTGGGCGTTCCTGTATATTTTATTCCAGCAGATCCTTAGCAGGGCATGTTTGAAGATGATGTTTCTGGAGGGAAACAAGGCAGGACATCGAGGGGAGGGGTGGTGCTGGGAATGCTGGCAGCCCAGAGCACCACTGGTGGCTGCCCGCAGGGTGGATGTGCCTCCATTCCCAAAAAACACCTCCAACAAAACCCTGCAAAGCTCCCCAAACCTCCTGCTCTCCCACCTCAGGTTCAGTGGAAATACTCAACACAGCATGGGAACTTCTGCCTGCGTCCCACCTAGCTTTAATTCATCTGTTGTTTCCTCGCAGTTTCTGGTGAGATCACAAAGCAAGTTGGTTGTTCCTGCTCCCAGAGGTTGTGAAACCCTGCTTAGTCACTAAGTTTACACAGCTCTGGGCAGTTTAGGGGAACTGTGCTTCCGTATAGAGTATCAGATATACACGTGAGCAGTTGCAGTCGGTTTTTCCTTCCGAGAGGAGAAGGAAATCCAGATCTGAGATTTCTTTCACATAAGTAATCACATTGAAAAAAAAATATGGTTGAAACCCAGCTGAGGTTTGAGTCATATACAGGAAGATACAAAACAAAAGACATCAATCAATATGTTACCAAAATGTGGAACAAACACATTTGGCTCTCAAGCTTCTTACCTCACTTACCACTTCTGACAGTTTTTTTGCATTCATATTTGCTGGTGCTTCAAATACACTTGTGAATGCATTGTTTTTTGGATTGTGCCTAGAAAAGGGAAAGTGTAAAAGGATATTAGGAAGGTACCAGACAGCCCACCAGAAAGGTTCTCTTCGAGCACTCAAAAACACAACACCAGCCTCCACCCCTCTGTACACATCTTTTCCCCCACTCACACAGAGATCTTAGATTACATTCAAGTCATTATTGTAGGGAGTAGGTGCCTAGAGCAAAATTAATTTTAATGATCATCATATCAATGCTGTGTTTCTAATAACAAAAGAGAATAATAGAATAAAAAACAACTGTCATCTCTCCTTTTTCTGCTGACATATTTGACAGGAATTGATCATTATAAAATAAAACTTCCTAGAACAAGCCAACTCCAAAATCTGCATTTTATACATTTTCCTTATGATTAGCTCAACCTTGTTAACTCTTAACCACTGATTTGGAAAACGCTGAATTTTGTGGTTGGTTTTATTTTCTTCCCACAATACTGAAATGGAACTTAATTTGGTATCTTTTAATACACTGGCCAAATGAGGGAGCTTTATGTGTGGTAAAAAGTTGTCCACAATTTGTGATTGACATAAATCCAAAGACACACATGAAGGCACTGACAATACCTAATTTCACATCACACATGGGACAGACTGAGTCCAAATGGTGATCTTCCATTATGTTAAAATGACTAGCCAAATTAAACCTTTGCTTAAAAAAATAAAATGGAAGAGAAAAAAGGAAATACACTTACGCTTGACAGTAAGGCTTTTTCTCGTGGCTAACAAAGTTGTTTACTGTTAACATCATCTTGCATACTTCACAGTGAAAACAGGCTTTATGCCACGTCTGGACACGCCACAAAAGAGAAACCAAACAGACGTTATTTCTATTTCATTATTATTCTGCTAAGTTTAAAATCTCACTGTTGATCCTTACCCTTCATTTAATGAATCTGACTATATTTTCTTCAAATATATACATGTTATTAATTTGTTTCAGTTCTGAACCCAGTTATGAGCAAAGAACTTTTGGAGCTGAGAGATTTGCACAGTGTTAGAAGTGCCAATCTGTACATTTATTATAGTCCAAAAATGATAAAGAAAGAGAACTGACCTGATCTATACAGTTAATCTTCTCAGCAGGGTAAACCCCATAGCCACATCTAGCACACGGCTGCACATTCATCTTGAAATCCACAGAGTGAAAAATATATAGGTTTATACAAAAGGTTCAAAGAGTATGAAAGTGACTTTTTGGCCTGTGCAAAGCACACTCTAGACACTCCAGTCAAGGCCTTTTGCTGTGGTCAATGGCTCCCATTAAAGCTCTGGATTGAAGTCTGTTGCTCCCTTTGCTGACCTTCTGTTTCAAAGTCAGCTGCAGGCTGGCTTTTAAAGCTGCCAGTTAGTAAGAGTGGTTATTTTGGCAACTGTGTCAGTGCAGAAGGGAGGGCAGCAATATCATTCTCTAAATAGAAGAATGAACTCACAGAAACGAATCACGTCCATGTGAATGTTAGAGCTGATCATTTTGTATTTCAGTTTTGCAGTCGTAAACGCAGGATGAAGAGAAAAAGTACAGACAACACCAGCAGCAATTTACCATTCATTTCTCCTCACCCTGATAAACAAGTGACCTCATGGGGGAGCATTGTGTACTTAGGAGCAGCCTCACAGCAGAAGGAGGTACCACCAGAGATACAGGCCAAAGATGGGTTTGAAGCTTCCTGGCCTTTGGGTGGATGTAGAAGTTCACTGCCAGTGCCCCAGACAAGTCATTAATTTTTTCCCTTGGTGCCAGCTCAGTTTCACCTTGTATATTATGTCAGCACACTGTTTTCTCATATCTTCCTGAATCATCCACCTGTCACTCCATCTCCAGGTGTAGGAGGATGCTCTGTGAAACAGGCAAAGCCTCTTATCTCAAAGAGCTCTAAACATGTTGGGTACAAATCCAAACTTCTATCTCCTACAGGAAAAACTTCTGAAAGGAACCATTTAATTTTTAATAGAATGAACAAAGCAGCTATTTAACACTGTTCACCAAGAGTAGACTGCAATAGATCAGAATATAAAAATTCCTTCACCAAAAAAAGATAAGGAATGTCTGATATTAGGATTCAAGCAAGCTATTAGGGTTGTGAAGTCTTCTCTGAACAAAAGAAGCTATTAAATTCTACCAGCTACAAATGGTCAGGATTTAAGATTTACATCTCACCTAATCATAGTACCTCCAGCTGCAGGCTCCATAACCCTGGGACATGGCCAAGAGTTATCTCAATCTGAGTAAAAGTCTACTTAGTCATCTATGCATCTGCCCCACTGCCTGCAGCAGTCCTGGAATATTGCAAAGCACTTCCCTTTTCTGTAAATTGCAAACAATTCCATCAAAATAATTTCTGTCTAAACCTTCTGGGTATGCTTGGGGAGACTCCTATTCATCTCTCTCTATTGAGATATGCAGTTCTCCTTAATTTATTATTGCTACTTTTACTGAATGCTGACAATGTACTGGCACAATGTCCTGTCAGCAACTGGTGTGCTGAAAATAGAGTCTCTAATCTAAAGAGCAGTGGCACAAAGTCCTGAAAACACTTAAGGCCTTTCAAAGTAACTAATATCAGTATATAAACAGATGCATTTTCATCTTTTAAAATGTCCACAGAACATAATTTCTTATACTAAAATAACTGCTGAGTTACCTTATGTTATTCTTCTTGGGATCAAGAGAGGTTTATGTTGACCAAGTTACATCACGGTAATATTTATCTCATTCACACCTGTGAACCAAAGCAATTTGGAAGGCTTCCAGTTCCCTTCTCACACAGCTTTGCATCTTGTCCCAGATTGCCATTCTGTTTATGCAAGTGACCTGTATTAGGGTCACAGTGGGCTGTCCCCTCCTTGCTTGGCACTTGGCACACTACCAGTTGTCACCTCTTTGTGTTCATCTACTCCAAGAGTCACCATACTGTGTGTTTTCTATGCAGTCCCAGTTGTCTCCATGCTGTCTGAAGCCATGCTGGAGCCCTTGTCTCACACTTTAGCAAGGAAAGGGGTGCATTACCTGCTCCTGTCTCTGCATTGCTTAAGACCCTCCTGAAATGAGTTCAGAGAGGTGGTGAAAACAGGACATCCCTGAACCACACAAAATCACAAAGACTTGGCAATTACAAAACAAATAATTAATCCAGGAGTGACCTGAACATCTGGAGAGGACTCCAGCATGGATCATCATGCTGTCCATATGTACTGTGTACCACAGAGCACAGAGATGTCCCTGAAGGGAATGACACCATGTGCTCTTTCCAAGAGGCCTCTCAGACAGATTTTTCTGCTTCACAGACAAATCCTACTTTATTTCAAGGTCTACAAAGCCTGTTTTTCTATTTTCACAGTGACAGACACTAGCAGCTTGACTGGTAAATGCATTTTCCAAGTTCTCCTGCTTCTCTCAAGCCACAGGATGTTCAAGAGGAGAAGTGTGGCAAGACACAATGTCCTCTACAGCTACTGCCTTCCCCAGCCACACTACTTCCCTCACATCCAATGTGCACCAGTTCTGCTGGAGTCTCTTAAAGACTTTCCCATTTCTGAGGACCCAAAAACTCTCTTGTTCTTCACCACCCTGGATTAAAGCCAAGTTGCTAACCAAAAAGGGAGTTTATTAAAAAATAAACATTGAATGGTCTCATTACAAAGTACGTGCTGCATTTTGATCATACAAGGAATTAAATCACAAAACCAGTGTGAGTTTGTTATCTTGACAAATCTTAGGAAGACATTTTCTCTTCAGTCAAAAGCTCATTGTGGCTTTTTTCCTCCTTTAGTAAGGCCTCATAAAGGCTTTTGGATATCAATGAAAATCTTAAAAGGCTTTACTTAACAGTAGAACCTTAATCAATGTGGTTTAAAAGGACTGTGGTTACACATAAAGTACAAGGAGACAGTACCTTGAAAGTGCAAATTAGTGGGAAGAAACATTGTTACCTCTCCAGCCTCCTTAAATTCGTTGAATTAACTGCACAGAAAACTTGAAGCATGTCTTCATCCTCAATCTGATTGTAAAAAAGCACATATTAGTTACACAAAGTAACCTCTCAAGAGACATTCAAGTCAGGGTCACCTCCTCTGTCACTCCTGAATTGAAGCTGTGCCCTTCCAACCACATGAAGAACAGGAAGCCAGACATCACTAATTATGGCAATCCTATCTTCCCTCTGTTTGCAAAAAAAAAACCCAAAGGTGTTGGTTCACTACACAAAGTGTAGTGTAAAAGCTGCCTGTAAAATTTCAAGCATTCAACCAGCCTTGTCTACGTTCACCTTCTCTGAATGCTGTGGTTGGTTAGTTACCTGGGCTCAGGGCCTTTTGCCTCACACAGTCTCTCCATGCTAGCATGGTAGCAAATCAAGCTTGGAAAAGTATTGAAAGAAAACTGGAAGAGCTTTATCAACACTAAAATCTCCCAAGACTTGAATAAAAACTTCTATGGAACTTTCCAAACTTATACAGTTGCTTTTTCCATTTTTGCTGTTTTGGAAACCAACCAACAACTGTTTATATTTCATGATTAAAGAGTTTATGCTTGCACTTTCCCTTGTTGCCAGTGTCAGGAAAAACTGAGAGTGTAGGGATTGTGCAAATGGTTCTAACAGAGTGAGATAAAATAAGAGAGAAATCAAAAAAAGAACCAAGGGGCTAAGAAGACACCACTGTTACACAGCAGAAAAGGAATGGGTTAGGATGTGCTACAATCTAAGCTAAAAGCTTGAAGAAAAGTGTGAAAAGCACATAGAGTATAGCCCACATAACCACCAGTGTCCAAATATGTCCATTTGTTGCGTATCATAACACAAATAAGCCTCAAGTTTAAAACTCACAAAATATGGCATGTGCATTGTTCTCATCTCTGCCTGATTACAGAGACAAAACACATCCATCAAGCTGACTGAGGTGCATTATTCTACAGAATTCCATAATTCTAGAGCTCCTCTCCTCTCCTCTCCTCTCCTCTCCTCTCCTCTCCTCTCCTCTCCTCTCCTCTCCTCTCCTCTCC